TTGAGGTAGAAGCAACGGTAATATTTTGAAAAACGGTAATAATAATGAAAAGCAAAATAAATTTGTTTTCAAATCAAATGATGAAACGGTGGTTTAACAGACAAAATAATCATAAAACTCTTGGTTAAAATACAAGGTAAGACCTCACACTTCTTATGATTAGAAAATATCTCAAAATCTCACATTTAATCAATTTAGTCCTAAATTTAAAATTAAAACCAATAAAAATTCTGATTTGTCAAGACTAAAATATTAACCAAAATTTTGAGGTGCGTCACAATTAATCTAACTTATAACAAACTCAATTTCAGCATAAAAATAATAATTACTCTAATTCATCTCGAACTCAAATTTACCTACACTAAAAAAAACTCAAACTTGTTGCTAATTATACAAGATTGATTATAGGTGATATGTTCCTAATAAGAAAAAGTGATACAAAGGAGCAATAATGTATTTTTATTAAAGACTAATCATGGGATTAACATTAATGTATGTATGTGTGCATGAAGATGCATGTTAGTATATCTAAAGACAAGGACATGACATTGGACATATGTGATATCTTGGAACACGAGTCATGTTCATGGTCCCTACGTGCTCAAATTCAGCATCCAAAAAAAATATATATAATATTATTATATATAAAAAGTAAACAGTGTTGTTATTGAAATTGTGGGGATACACACAACTTTATGAGTTTTTGTATTTTTGCCCCTTCTTAATTAATGCCCTGTCACATTATCACAATAATCAGTGACACGGAATTAGAAAATTTAAATTATAATATTAGAATTTAAAATATTTAGAGAAAAATATATTTTTAAGTGGGTAGAGTCGAACAATTGATGTCAATTTCTTGGGGGATGTTAATTATTTTTAAAGTAATGTTAATAATATTTTAGAAGATGTCGATTTTGTTTGTAATGTTTTATATAAAAAATATATTAATAAAATCCTTTTTCAAAGAATTTTAGGATGTTATTTGACACGTTTGTTTACTATGTGATTCTATTTATGAATAGAACTAAGATCAGATATTGGGAGGAATAAATTATCTATTTTTAAAATTATAAAGATTTGTTATGTATTTAATCTAAAAAATTGAAGGGGCGAAAATTTTATTTTATTTAGTTTAAACTTATATGACCTAAAATGCTATTAGATCAAAATTTTTTTGGAGGGGCAAGGACCCCTCCCACTCTCCATGTACCTTCATCCCTCCGTCCATGGGTAGTAGTCACTTATATTGTGTAAAATTCATTAGTTTTATATAAAAATATAGTCATTGAATGAATCTAAATGGATGGATCACATTAAAACATTATTATTTTAATTTTTTGTGTAAATTAAAGAACGTTATACCTTATAAATGAAACACACACGCAAGCACGTACACACATAAACACACGCATGCATATATATATATATTCAGATACTATATGTTCAATAGATATCATTTTTGATTGCACAAATTTTATGGATAATGAGTAAACGATCACAAACAATAAGAAAAAAATGATTAGAATGTATAAATTTACATGAAAAATCTTAAACGGGAAAAAACACGAGTAAAATAGAACAATTTTAACATTTTCAGGTTCAGTGACAAATTATAAGAGGATTCTATGCAAGTGCATCAACACTTAAAATACTAGTTACATATATATAGTGGAGTGAGACGATAGATCTCTTAAGTAAAGATGTGTGGTTCAAATCTTAACATTGTGAATAAAGAAAACTATACTGAAAGAGTCGTTTCATAATAAACTTTTATAATATATAATTTGAAGTAATTGATCAATAAATCGAATATTGGTACTGAAATTTATTAAAATAAAAAAGAATGAGATAGAGAAGATGATAAAGAAGTCACTATCCATGTGATTCAACTATATCTCTAAAAAGGAAGTCTCAGATACCCTTTGAATTATCAACTTAGAATAGGACATAGCCACCAATGCTCTCTGTTAAAAGCTGATTTTCTCTATTTATCAAACCCTTCCTTTATTTTCCCAATTCTCATTCTTAGCTTCCCTATAAATTACATAATGGAGATGATAAAGATATCTATGCATTAGGCTTCCAAGCAATAAAGTAAATATTTTTATTCGAAAATCATTTGAAATTCTATATGAGGTGATAAAGATATCTATGCATTAGGTTAAATATGTCTTGAGTTCGAAGTCTTGTGTATGAAAAAAAATTCGTTAAGAGACTTATCTATTAAAATTAGGTGTGCAACACAAGTCGATCCGGATTAGTCAATAAATTAAATATTTTTAATATATATATATATATAATATTTCAATTTTCACCGGCAAGTTAGGCAGATGCTTGCTTCATTTATTTTATAAGAGAAAATATGATTCAATAATTAAAACCTTTGCTATGATTGCATTATTATTATTATTATTATTATTATTATTATTATTACGAGTAATTAAATAAAAAGCGTTGCCATTTACCAACTTCGTATATAGCTGTAACACAGCCTTTATTATATTTTTTGATATTTTTCTTAAAACTAAGTTTTTTATATAATTTGATGAAATTTATTTATTATTTATTAATAATTATTTTATTGATAAATTAATTCAGTTTAAATACTATAAAATTTATTATAAAAATATTTTAAATTTATTTTATTTTATTTTATTTATAACATCAAATTTTAGACTTTAAATTAAAAAAAAGGAAATTCAAGAGATATTTCACCATCGTACACATGCATGGATCTTTGCTGAATAATATAAATACATAAATAATGTTTTTGTTGTTGTCAGATTCCAGACCATATATGACAGCCTTACATTAATACTAAAACAAATGCAAATATAAACTATATAATATACTAATAATTACTAATATTCTAACTCATAATTATCATCCACGTGAACTGCAATAATGGCAATATGGTATTTGTATAATTAAATAGTACATAGTTAAATTATTTACATATCTAATCCATAAATTGTTTAATTATTTTTATTAATTAAATAAAACATGAACCAACCGATTACATGTTTAGTTTACATTCAATTATAAACTTTTATTGTAATTTTAATTTTTCTTTCTTAATAAAATTGACGAATTCTATTTTCAGATGCTCAAGTGAGATTAAGAAAATAAAAGTCGTGAAAGTTGAAAATAAATTATATTTTTCTTATATCAATGCTTATAGAATTTGACTCTTCTAAATCCTAAATTGATATTTGTTGATTACAAGAATATTTATATACTAGGAAGGATACAAAGTTTTATATTACGGGTTAATTTATAAAATTTCAAAAGAAGATGAACTTAATAAAATTTTAAGAGATGAAAATCGAAAAATACAAAGTAAACATTTAATATATATATAAATTTAAAATTTTTAGGATGGACTTCACCAGCTCTCCCTCTGCCCATCATTATATATAATCATTGATATTTAATATGTTAATTGATTAATTTAAATTAAATATTATAAAAAGTTATCGTAGAAACAAAACTTTTAATTTAGTTTTATCATTCATGGTGCAAATTGAAAATAACATAAGATCACAAGTGAACAAAAACATTTGATAAATAAATAATTTTTGTTTATTTATTAAATTAAATAAATAATATTAATATTTGAACGTTGTTTGTAAAATTATTTTTTATATAGAATAATAATATATAAATGGATATATATTTTAAATTTCATTCAATAAATAAATCAAACACGATATTTCGACTTTTATCACGACATCTTGCTCGAAATTATGATAATTAATTTTTCTCATCGTTAAAATCAAAAGTTTTTATCGATAATTTTTATCACGACATGAGAAGCCGAGGCAGCTACAAGCCTACAACTTTCGGGTTTTGGACAGGGACGGAGTCCTTATGGAAGGAGTTGTCTGTCTCAAATATTTTTGGTGTAATAGTATTTTTAAGGTTTTTTCAATTTAAATATTAATTAAATAAATCTTTTATTATTTATATTTTGTATTTAAATATTTAATAAACTCTTACTTCTTCCGGTATTTAATCTTAATTTTGTCTCTAGATCTGAATAACATTAAACGGAATTTGAAGTTTGTAAAAGATGATATTTGTTGAAGATAAGACTAATTGTGGTAAAATCTTCGTAAGAGTAAGATTTTACAAGTAAATATGACTTGAGGAGAAGAGTTTGAGCGATTTAGGTTTAATTTGAAGTGTGGGCAACAAGGTAGAGGACGAGTTTGGAGTCTTTTTGAGGTTTAGTTGAGCTTTTTTTTCTTATTTGAATAATCTAGAGTGATTGTAATATTATATTTGCTAAATATTTTTTTTAATCATTGACAACAAGCATATATTCTGTAAAGACAACTGCTTAGATTCGAACCTCTAAGAAGCATAACATTTCCTATTACTACTGAGATCGTTTAATGAGCAATGATTAGGTGAATGAATTTAGGTAAAAAGGGTTAACCTGGTTTTACTTGAAAATGATTCTGATTTTTAGATTCAAGTTAGACCGAAATTAATGCTTATAACAAGCATATTTTAACAGAAATTTGTCAGTCTTGTTAGATAATCTATACGTATAAATAATTTTAATCGATCCTATAACAATATCTTCCGTGTATAAAAAATCTATTAAGCCAGGAATATCGATATAAAAAGTCCATAAATCTAATTTAAGTAAATTTAGGATTCGTTTACTAAATTTTTTTCAAGCCCATTTAAAATTAGTGTATTGTTTGATGATTGTATAATTAATAATATTATTGTTAGTTTTACTTTCATTCATGTATTATGATTATTAATATCAATATCTAATAATTATATAAATACAAATAAGATGTGTATTCATTTATGATTTGCTTATTACTTGTGAATATATTCCTCTAGTGCTCACTAATAAATTGGTTTAATTTAAACAAAAGAATATAACAAAATATAATCTTTAAATAAAGAAATATAAACACAATTTTAAAATTTTTTAAACAAGAACCGAATCCAAAAAACAAGCTGTGTTTTTCTTAATGTTATTTTCACCTTTTCTTCTTGCCACTTTTCTTTTTAAACTTCATGAATTTAGCAGAAAGTGCAGCTGAGGCACTCTTACCTTCAAGCTTCTTTGTCAATTTCACCACACTTGACAGGCCTTTCCTCGCAGTCGCCCGATGTTCTGGCCTACGGCTCATCATCTTGCGATCGAGAGGCCAGTATGCGTACGGTTCGAGCTTATCCTTCCTCTTTACATCCCCATCGGCCTTCTTGCTACCATACTCACTTCCGGTGTACGCCCATCCCGACTCTGATGTTTTCCTTCGCTTCTGGTTGTTGTTCCTTGAAGCGCCAACCGAGAAATGACTTTGTGCTTCACTTCTCTTATCTGAATCAGCATCAGATGCTGTGGCCTTCTTTGGTTTCTTTCCCTCGTGAATTATCAAGCGCCCATCAGGGTTGAACTCCGGTTCATCATCAGAATCTTGCTTCCGCTTGAGGTTTGAAGATGATTGAAGAGCAGATCTTGTTTTATGCCGATCAAGCAAGTCCAGTGGCTCGTCTTCTAACTGGTCAAACAAGTCCTCGGGCAAGCTCTTATCCGCTCTCCGCGTTTTCTTGGACCTATATCGACAGGCAAACACAAAGATAAGGAACCTAGAGAACGAGCATATTCTCTACATCAGACGGACAGGGATAAGGGGTCTACTGACCGCAGTGAAGCTGCTTTTGATTTCAATTTCGACGAGGCTCTGCTCTTTTGGTCAGAAGCCATTTCCACGCCACTATCACCATCATCAAAATCAGAGAATATTTTTGTATGATTCCATCTGCTAAGCCTGCACATTCAGAAGATAACAAGACTCGGAAAACAGTAATAGAAGGTTTACCATGGCTGGTGGCCACGGATTTTCATACACGAGCAAATCGAAGCTGATCAACAAATCTGTAAATGACCATATCAAGGAGCAAAGCAAAGTGAGAAACCTGGACGTAGTTGCCTTCGACAGATGAGATTTACTTTCCACAGAACCCGCAGCCTGTTTCTTCTCTTTCCTCTCGTTGATCTGTATTTAAGAATGATGAGCAACATCCTTCAAAATGAAGCCTTAGCCCTTCATATGTATATAAAAAAATCAAAACAACGTTCCTCGACAAACCTTTCGTATGTTAGTAAGGAGCTTCATGTGTTCTTCAGGCATCACAGCCTTTACAGCATCGATACCACATTTCCTGACGAGCATTTCCAGAAGAAGCTTTACCTGAAATAAGAATAGATACAACGACAAATATATGAGCACACAAAGATCTAAAAAGATTATCGTTACAAACAGTTCAATTGCACAAAAGTATCTTGGTTTAAACTTTGTTTACAATATGAAAAAAATAAAGGTTACATGAGGAATATAAGTCGGTTATCCTGCTATCAAGTTTTAAAGCAGAATACAAATCAAACTTGGCAATTGTCATGTTTTCAAAGAAACTAAAGAATCAAATAGTTCAGAAAGCTAACAATGACCGAAATCAATGGTAAATGAAGAGGAACACAAACCTTCGCTTTAAAATGATTTTTGGTATCATCTTGCCACTTCAACAAACCTTCCACCAAGCTGGCCAGGTGTGCTTCCAAGCCTTCAGCTTTTGATTTGGCCACCAACACTTTCAATAAACCCAAATTAGCCTGCATCATAAGCAGTTGCAGACATAAGTGATGTGATACAGAAAGTACAAGATAAGGAACATAACCATTAGCAAAAATACATTTGTGAGAGAAGAAACAAACTTTAATAATTTCTCTGTTCTTTCTTTGAAGGAGAAGAAATGTGGAAGGAAGCAACTTGTAAGCAGAAGAAACAAGATCCGAGAACTCATAAGCCAACCGGGCCAAGCCTTTCACAGCAGCACTAATCATATGAGGAGTTTTTCCAGCCAAACCTGTAGCAACCTGTGATCATGAATAAGAAACAGTTAGTTTCTTTAGAATAAGAAACAAACCGGATCTACATGTAAGACATGCAAACACTTATTGAAGTTAGAGAGACGGCAAACAGCTTAATACCATATTAAACAGCTGTTCCCTCTGTCCACTGTCATCTTGATCTCCATATTCATGGCCAATTTGGACAAGGACCTCATAAGCTCTATTTCTAGTTCTCTTATTAGCCTGCATAAAAATCGCATAATAAAGAAGATATCAGAAAGCATGTGTAGGAATTAACCCCATAAATGGTGTATCATACAGGAGTGCCCATTCAAAAATAACATGCAATACTATAATTTTACTTCCAGCGAATCTCAAAAATTAGACAAACAACAGATATATGTTGACAAAATACCTCTTTCAAAGCAAGGATTATTTCAGTCAGGAAAGAACTAAGAATCTCGTGTCTCCTCAGGTTTAAATCCTCCTGTACAAAGAAGCATTAGTTGATCATCTAAAATAGATAGTTAAAATGACTAGAAGCCATACACCTATCCATAAGGCAGATGAAAGATTCAATTTAGTTTGTTAACCTTTGAGGCATATGTTATCAGATGATGCAAACAGTCGAGCCTGTGACGTTTTGCAGAAAAGTGGAGTGATGGCAGCACCTCAATCATAAGTTTAAGCAAATCTTCCAGTTTAGCAGATAGAAACCCATTTTGGTTCTGACCAGAAAACAAAAAACATATAGTGTTTGAAATTGGATACAAATGAAAATATACATCTAAATGCACAGAGACGAAAGAAGAAAAAAAACTTGTAGCATTAGCATGAAAATGAGATACCCTCAGAATTATTGAAAGAACTTTGTAAGCCTTTTTCTGAATCAAGCCATCCACATCCTGCAGATTAAAAATATCATTTTCATCATAATTTCAACCCTCCAGCAAAAACAAGACTTAACCAAACCAGATAAGTGGAATTCTAAAACTAACCTGCAATGCAGGTTTTATTGCACTGAATAAGACGTCTAATGATGGCTCATCTAAACCAGGCAATAGTGAAACTGCCAGGTCAAATAACCGCGCCCTGCAATTAATATCAACGGGAAAGAATACAATCATTAAGCACCACAGTACTGCCATGCCTATAAAATGTACAAATATTAAGCACTCTAGAGTTACCTTTGGAGAGATAATGAGCTTTTAGATGATGACTCATCAACCTGCATAGAATTATTACTCTTTGATGCCTCAGCCATCCCAGCCTCTTGTGTGACTTTCAAAAGCCTCTGCATTGTCTTTTTAAATAAGGTTCTGACAACATTCTCATGTGCTATGGAAGCAAACTCCCCAATTGTGGACTGTAAAAGGAGAAAAAATCATTATGAAATTGGGAACATAAAAATGCAAGTATCTAAGGTTTCACTTGGTAGGAATGATGAGAAATTGTTATGTTATGGTTTTGTTTACATTCACTTTCCTACTTAATGGCTTAACCATTGGCTGAAAACTTTTTCTACCTTCCTACCTCCTATCCTCTCAACTTAGCAAAGGCTTGGGATAAAAGATAAATGACAAAACAGGATGGTGCACTTCATTGATAGGATAAGTACCTGCAAAGAACCACCCTCATCTACTGTAGATTCCATGAAGATCCCTGACAAAAGTGACAATAACTGTGGAGCAGGTGCAGAAAGCACTTTCAAATTTTCCCTAGCAATCTCTGGGGTATAATGAGACACAGCTCGCAGTTGGGCAGGACTTAACTCAGCAACATCCAAATCATCTTTTCCTTCCTTAATTTTCTTATTCTGTTGAATTAGAATCTGCAAACTAGAGCATATTTTTCCACGTAGATCATGTTCATCATGAAGGGCACTGCATATAGGACTTAGAAGTTCCTTGAAGCTTTTGGCAGTATCCAAAGGGTAATTACAAAAGGAGGGTAACAAGGACCACACTTTGTATACAAAACCATCTGCAATACTTGATGAGCGAACTTTTCCTTCTAGTTCAAGCTGCCAAAAGTAGGGAGTAATTAAGAGGAGCTTAGAAAATTAAAAGAACCCATGTCAAAGAACAGGATTTTTACCTTCCGAGACCTCTGTTTCATTTCTCCAACCAGACCCAAAAGTGTCTCACTAAAGAAGCTCAAATGTGCACCTATAATATGCTGCTTCAGAATTGGGAATAGCCAATCATTAACATCTGAAAGGTCATTAGCCTCAAAATTCAGTGACAAAATTCCTAAAAATGTCTCAGGGCCCATCGCACCAAGAGCACATCCAACACACTCATGCAACTGCCAAAAAAATTAGTCAGCCAATCCACAGTTAATTCCAATATCACGGCATAAAAAACAAAAATGAAACAGAATAGAAATTAAAAAAATCAAAGTTTAAAAACATACCAATCATGAAACAGTGTAAAATACAAAACAGTGAGATGACTGAGTAGGAGGAATATATACCTTCTTTTAAACTTTTTACTCTTATCGGCCTTTGAAAAATTATATTAAGCACAGTTTTCAATATTAACTACCATTTTATATACCATATCACACCCTGACCAAGATACAGATTCTCCAGGTGAAAGAATACTAAGAATACCTGATTTTTGTAAGGAAAATCCTTATCTGGCAAGCTTTGCATGTCAGCCAAGTTCTTAAGGGTTCCCTTCATAAAATATGAGGAATAATAGCCTGTAGAGAAGCAACAAGTTTAAAAATTCATTCAAAAGAGCTGGTTGAAACACTATCAAGAGAGAAAAAGAAGCAACATGAGGCACTGACAGTACCTAGTTTATCAAACATTGTTGAAACAACCTGAAATGACATGTCCCATACTGCACTATAATGATAATCAAGTAAGCTCTCGACAATTGCACAAACTTTTTCAATTATAGTCGGCCCTGACTTTCTATCATCCGATTTTGAATTAATTATCTGATCCACTCCCTGTTTGATCAAACCCTCATCAATGCAACCATTTATCAGGGTCTTGAAAGCCTCTGTAGCAGAAAAAATAGCTTCTTCGTGTTCTGAACCAATAATATCTATCACAATAAAAAAATACTCGATAATCATATAGGAAGATCTACTCAATTCTTCAATAAAAAATGTTGCTAACTAAGAACTAAAAAGTCGAACCTTTGAGTGCGCTGAACATAACGGGAAGTTTAATCACACAAAGTTGTCGATTAAGAGAATAGACTTTCATCATTCCGGAGCTCAACAAACGGGCGTTAAAAGTCATGCTAACTGGAGAAGTTTCGTTTGCAGAGATAGATAGAGCCAACAAAGATAATGAATCCAGCAATGCTTCAGCTGAAACCTCTACATTCGGATAAGTACAAACTGCATTCAAACTATTTGTTACTCGCCTAGTAACAAGAGGTTGCCGAAATTCCAATAAAGTTTTATAGTACTTGAGAATTGTTGTCATGTATTTCATCGACATAAGAGGAATGGTGTCCTTAAGAGCATCTAAAACATAGAGAACTTCCTGAGCTCCTTTTGCCCCTTCACTCGAATTCGCATTTGAACCACCAGCGAGCAAAAGAAACCTCTCAAACATGTTAGATATAGCTTCACTAGCCAGTGGCAGAACTGGCATACCTCGGAAGCTTTGTAAAATATCACGGATACACAAGTGCGATTGCCTTCTCACCTATTTTGAAAATTAGTTCACATATAATAAAACATATGAAGCATAGTTTGATTGAATACAACAGTTTTGGATTCAACAAAGGGAAAATAAAAGATTTTTTTACCTTGGAGTGGGAATCAGTTAAGTTTCCGATTACAACACTGTAATTTTGCGATATATCAGACCAATTAACCTTATCTCCGGCAATCAATAACTGAGCTAAGCATTTCAAACCTGACGTCACCGTAACCTCCGTAACGGAATCTAATCTTAAGACCGTAACGACAATTTTCGAAACGAAATCTCCTTTCTTTTTCAAAACGGCGACTGGGATACGGGGAAGAAGGAGAGAAAGGATAGTGGTGAGAGACTGAACGACGTGAGGAGGAGAATCCGGTTCGGAGGAGAGACGGTCGAGGGAAGAACACGTAGCGCCGAAGTAGGCTACCGGTGTGAGAGGCAAACCTTGCTCCTTCAGTTCTTGCGCCATTGCGCCGACGGTGGCGCAGAGGCGTTGATTGTCTTCTTGATCGGATTTCGAGAAGTGACGGAGTATCGATTCGCAGAAATCGCCGGTTGGTGAGTCCGGAAACTGGTCGAAGCCTTCCAATTCGATGCCTTCCATGTCTAAAAGGCGGTGCCCAGCATAGAGGAGACTTTTTCAGAAGTATTGATGGCGAAGCGGTGTCGCCAGCCCCTATTTCGCAGTCTCGGCGACTGCCGTCACTGATAAAACCTCAGGCAAAGTCTTCAAGTTAAGTTTAGGGTTTAAAGGGAACTTGGCGGCGGGGACGTCTGAAGAGAGATGAGAGTAGGTTTGGAAATTTAAAAAGGAAATTTTAGGAAAAGGGAAATTGATTTTATAATTTTATTTACATACAATAATAGAGTAAGATTTTAAAATATATATATATAACTTAGATATAATTCTTATTCTTACAAATAGAAAATTCATCAATATAAATATAAAATGGAAATAACATAAATAAAGTTGTAATGGTAATTTTTAATAATAAATTAAATGATTTCAAAGATAAGAGTGATTATTATTTTTTAAAGAATTTAAATTTGAATAAATATGTATGTAGGTGCGTTTGTTAATAGATTAAAAATATATTAAATAAAAATTATATTATAATTATTTCAAATTATACTAAAAATTCAATAAAATTAAAACAGATTCACTATATCAGTTAAAAGTTAAAGGGTAAACTACGCCAATGGTCACTGATGTTTGGGTAAGTTTTCATTTTTACCACTAATGTTTCAAAAATTACAAATAGGTCATTAACGTTATCGTTTGTGACAAAATGATCACTGGCATTTAACAGCCGTTAAGAGGCGTGACGAAAAATACAGCTAGACCGTTATCTGCTGAGGTGGATCGTTTACCGCCATTTTGACTGGCTCTTCTTCTTCTTCAACTCATTCCCCATATTTTTTTTCTTCACTTTTCTTCTTATTTCTTTCTCTTCACTTTTCTTCTTTTCCTCTTATCACACACATGATGTAATTCCCATTGTTGAGTGGAGACATCCTAGGCTATTGTTGCTCGTGAGATATTGTTGGCTAAAACAGGAAAGAAAAATCGCACTTTTATTGCAGAGGCTGGAGCAATACAACACTTATGTAAGTTGTTGTCGTTTTCAAACCCTGTTGCTCAAGAGAATTATGTTATCGCAATATTGAACTTATCCATTTATGATAAAAACAAAAGTCGGATTATGGGCGAGGATGGTTGTCTAGGTTCGATTGTCAAATTCTTGAGGCTGGGGCTCACATCGAAGGCCAGGGAAAATGCGGCAGCAACACTCTTCAGCCTCTCAGCAGTGCATGACTATAAGAAGAGAATAGCCGATCAGGGAGGGGCAATTGAAGCCTTATTAGGGTTGTTGAGAGTGAGGACTCCGAGAGGGAAGAAGGATGTTGTAACTGCTTTATTTAATATGTCGACTCATTTGGAGAATTGTGCAAGAATGATCGAAGCCGGAGATGTTACAGTACTAGTAGGAGCTTTGGGGAATGAAGGGGTAGCAGAGGAAGCTGCGGGTGCATTGGCCTTGATCGTCAGGCAACCAATCGGGGTTGAAGTTGTGGGGAAGGAAGAAATGGCAGTGGCGGGGTTAATAATAATGATGAGGTGCGGAACCGCAAGAGGTAAAGAGAATGCAGTGGCAGTATTGCTCGAGTTGTGCCGCAGCGGCGGGTCTGCTACGACTGAAAGAGTGCTAAAGGCTCCAGCATTGACCGGCTTGCTTCATACATTGTTGTTCACGGACACAAAGCGGGCAAGAAGAAAGGTCGCATCGCTTGCTAGAGTGTTTCAGAGGTGCGATAATGTATCCTTGCATTTTAGTGGACTGGGTGTTGGATATGCATTTGCAGGCAACTCGACAGCTTCGAACAGGGATTCATGAGTCGCGACGATGTCTCGGTGCCTATGTCCATCTCTGTGCAGGTTTTGTAAAGGCATATGTAACATCCGCAATACCGGGTTAGTGACCAAATTGTAAAGTTTCAGAATTTGGTGACTAAAGTATAAGAATGAAATAGTTCAATGATTATTGGATATATATGATGAATGTTATTTAGTAATTAGTAAAGGAAATAAAGGGCAAAAGGGTCAATTGACCAAGAAATGAATAAAAAAATGGGATTGGTAGGATAAAGGCACGTGGAAAGGGAGAGAATTCTCCAGAGTTCTCTTCTCCTTTCTTCTTCTTCTTCTTCACGTGGAAGACAAGAGCCAAAGGTAAGTTTCTTTGTTTATAATTGAATTGTTGATTTTAAGGTTGGGTTTTAATTATTAGATGATAACTAAGCTTAAGGAAAGCTTAAATTATCTTAAAAGCAAAGGATGGTTGAGTTAGGAGAGATTAAAGATTTAGAGTTTACAAATGAAATCTTGGAATAAAGTTCATTTCTTAGATTGGAAGTTAAATTTGACTTGTCAATGGTTAAATTAAGAGATTTGGAGTGATAGAATTGTATGTAGATTATATAGAAAATTTGGTATGATTCTTGAATCTCATAAGGAAGATAGGATTTTGAGGTTAAAGATGATTTACATGGATATAAGTTGGTTCAAGTTATAGTAGTTAAGTTTAATGTCATAAGAGGGGCTTAAAATAGAAGAATTAAGGGAAGAGTTGATGATTTACGTGCTAAAATGTCAGTTCTGGGCAATGTTCATCGATGCACATTCATTGTGCACGATGCATCGATGATAAATACCAGAAATTGTTTAAGGTGCATCGATGCACATGCAGTGCATCGATGCATGAATTTAAATAGAAAACATCGAATATGATTTATGCATCGATGCATAAGGAGTGCATCGATGCATCCCCATTAAATACAAACATCGAATAGGATTTATGCATCTATGCATGGTGTAGTGCATCGATGCATACCTTCATTAAAAGATGAAATTGGCTTTTCTTTGAGACTAAGGAGTGATAGTTTCGAATATATCAATCAATACACTGATAAGTATTAATGTATTATTATGTAGATATAGAATGAAAGCTTGTTCCAGAACAAACTAAGGATTAGGATTGATTCAAACAACGAGGCCCAGGTGAGTGCATACTAGTGATATGTAGTGTTTAATGGAAATAAGACTTGTGATGAGTCTATTTCCTAGAGTAATATGCATGAAGTCATGGACATGATTATGTGTAGTTATAATTATATGTGATTATCTGTATTACATTGATTGTATGTATGCATGACTAAAGATAAGGATATGCTTTGTATATGTTATATGATGTATGTAAGACTTTAATATGTAATAATGGAAGAACATGAAATAAGTTATATGATAGAGTCATAAGAAATGAAATGAATATGAGAGAATAAGATAATCAAGTATAAGTTATATGATATGGTATAAGTAATTATACGAGAAATGTTAGGAGACTCTAAGAGAATAGTATGAATTCGAGGGCATAAATAAGGATACATAAGTAATATAGGGAAGATTGATAAATTAAAGGAAACTATGGTTTATGTATTATAGTTAAGAGCTACAAAGTTTTATTAAAGAGTATTGAGGAAGTCATGAGAAATGGAACTAAATAAATAGATGGTTTATGTGAGTTGAAAAGGTAAATGATATAAAAATAAATGAAAATTATTTATAAGATAGCATGAGACTAATTGAACATGTAATATAAACTTTATAAAGGAGTACTTGGGTAAAATCATTATATGATACAATTATAGAGTATTACTATTCAAATTATATTAAAATATGATATAGGAGAATATGAGTAAGTTTATAGGATATTGATAGGACATATAAGAATATGTAAATGTATGCTGATATGAAAAAGGGGATACAAAGAAATGGAGCATAAGGTAGATAATATTATATCAACTATTATATATCTATATGATATATGTCATCAGATAATATGAAAGGGCTCTGAAAATTGATATAAGCTACGTAAAAGTGTTCTAGGTGTTTTTATATGTTATATATAAAGTATATGATCTTATGTGAACAAGATATGATAAGTATGTTTACATGAATAAATGTGATTGGGTGAGAAATGATAGAAATTATACAAGAACATGAGATATGTGACATGTGAATTATATGGAAATGATCTACGTGTAAGTGAACTATGTGACTATGTGATAATATGAAAAGAAGCTATGTGATACGTGATATGTGAAAGTGAATTACATGTTTATGTGAATATTTGAAATGAAATAAATGATAATGCCCATGTTATGTGTCATGAGAGCTAGGGGTATAGTTGGCATGCCAAGAGTCGAGGGTTTCATAGGTCATTCGGGACAACTCATAGGTCCTTCGGGACAAATTCACAGGTCCTTCGGGACAAATTTCATATGCCACTCAGTGGGACTTATACGAGCTGTGGTGACAGTATTAGTGCACAACCTCTATAGACTCACATATCGATAGTTCTCACATATGTACATGGGCTAATCCAGAGATATGAACAAATATATGTTAGTGGTATGATAAATGTTATAGAAATGATATGATGTTGTGTGTATAGTGTTTGATTGAAAAGGTTAACCATAAAAATATGTGATTACATGATAAACTGTTAAGGATGAATTATGTGTATGTATGTATTTACTGTAGTTAATCTGATATGATTTTATATGATACGAAGAATGCATGGAATTGGTATACCATGATAGAACATAACATGCATGTATTGATATATGTTATAAAGTGCATTATAAGTTGTTATGCCTCACTAAGTCTTCGACTTAGCGTGTGATTGTTTCACACGTAGGTTTCGGGAAGAGTAAAGAGTAATGCGGAGCAAGACATGTCAGTTCTCCTTACCAAATGTCAGATCAGAAAATATATGTACTGTTTATAGAGTGTAGTTGGCATGTAGTTTAAAGATATAAATTGTATGAACTCTGATATATTTTGTAAACGTTTTGAATAAGTTAAATGTTATCAAAGTTTTTAAATTACTCACTATTTTATACGAATAAATGTTTGAAAAGTCAATGTGACACTTCGGACTCGTATCCGGGTCGGATACGGGTTGGGGGTGTTACAGCATACATCACAATGTGGTTTATAAATATGTTGTCAATTTAGTTGGTAATGTATTTACAAATTCTTTCATTGAAATTCAGATGATATGAAAAAGAAAAAAACCATTACAGAACTGAGAATATCTTATCCTGTATTCGGAGAATGGAACTGAGAATATACGAAATGCAAAATCGGTTGTTGTTTCCTTACCAATTGCTTTGACCGTTGTCTGTTAATCACAAATGAAACGAAGAAAATAAAAAACAAAGCTCCATTGTTCATTTAATACCAAAATTAAAGTCGTTTCAATTTTCAGCTTTTTGATTCGATGCGAAAGAAGGAAAGTGAAGAGAAAGAAATAAGAAGAATAGTGAAGAAAAAGAAGATGGGGAATGAGTTGAAGAAGAAGAATAGTCAGTCAAAATGGCGGTCAACGATCCATCTCAGCAGATAACAGTCCAGCTGTATTTTTCGTCACGTCTCTTAACGGTTGTTAATGGTCAGTGACCATTTTGTCACAAACGATAACGTTAGTGACCTATTTGTAACTTTTGAAACATTAGTGGTGAAAACGAAAACTTATCCAAACATCAGTGACAATTGGCGTAGTTTACCCAAAGTTAAATAAGGGTGAAGAAAAATAATAAAATTAAAGATAACATGAGAAGAAGAAAGATCATGGATATAATTTTATTCAAATAATTACTATATTAATTTATGATTTTACGTTATTTTGAGTTATATATATATATAACACTTTTCGTTAAAAGAATTGATTAAATTGGTTCATTTGGTTTGTGAAATTATCTAAAAGTTGATATGCAATTCAACAGTACAAAATAATATATTTATGATTTTTATAATAAAAATGCTAGTGAGGTAGGATTTAATATCTGGAAAAAAACATATAAATCAAAACTATAATCGGGTAAACATAGGTTTTTTTTTTTTTTTTGTTAATATACTCAAATAAAAGATAGACGAATGTGCGAACTTCTAAATTTTTATAAAAGAGTGAAGATAGATTATCATAAAAAGTTATAAAAAATCTAAAATTTATGATAATTTGAATTTTTTTAAGGAATCAACAATCTTCACCCACTTGGTCACTTCCTCTCGACCCATTCTTAATTATAAGTATATTTTTTTAAAATAGTATGAGATAATTACGAGATATTATATGTTTAAAATTTTATTAACAAATTAATAATTTTAGAGACTAAAATACTAACAATTTGGCCAAAGATGATGGATTGAGGCTCTAAGAATTATGTTAAAACACTCCTTTAAACTTTTATCATATTTCAATTAAAATACTAACAACTTTTTTCTTAAAACACTCCTGTAAACTCTTCATTGACTAGATTTTTGGGGGGGTAAAGTACACTAAAGTTTATTAAATTGTGTTAAAATAATTTATTAGTTAACAAACTTTTAAATATTATAAAATAGTCATTAAAGCTCATCAATATGTTATAAAAATGTCATTAAATTTATTAAATTATTATAAAATGATACTTAAACTTATCAAAATTGTGTTTCTTAAAACACTCCTTTAAACTCTTCATTGACTAGATTTTTGGGGGGTAAGGTACACTAAAGTTTATTAAATTGTGTTAAAATAATTTATTAGTTAACAAACTTTTAAATATTATAAAATAGTCATTAAAGCTCATCAATATGTTATAAAAATGTCATTAAATTTATTAAATTATTATAAAATGATACTTAAACTTATCAAAATTTATTACTATTTATAACAATGTAGAGCATTCGTAAAAGCTCAATAAATTTAATGATTATTTTATAATATTTGAAAGTTTGTAGGCCAAAAAAGATTATTTTTTATATAGTTCAATGACCTTTGATATACTTTACTCTTATTTTTCTAGGTTAGAAATGAATTATTTTAAAAAAATAAACACACATCAACCTTTTAACCATAATAAATAATTGTATTTACTATTTGAACTAAATGATGACATTATAAAATAAATGGATCAAACTAAAATTAAAATACATGGACTAGATTATAAATTTAAGAATAGAAGAAAGATTAAAATCAAAATTTTACCGATTCACTCCACCACTTTCATCAAGCTTACGAATCATATACAAAGCATTACTGGTAACCTTGGCCACATTCGTAATCTTCTTCTTCACATCACTCTTTACCTTCTTCTCAACCCCTTCGAATCCGTCGAGACACGTGTCCTCGTACGTCAGAGCCGCGCTAACCCACGTCCGCGCATTGCTCATCTGGAACTCGAACGTTTCGCCTCTCAGGTGCTTCAACTCACTCAACGTCCTGCTCAACTCGTCCACCGACTCCGCCATCTGCTCCACGCAGTCAGTCAACGCGGCTCGTTCCCTTCCGCTTCTCCATAAAGCCACCGTCACATTGTTCGTCAAGTAACTCGACGCCTTGCGGGCGCGAGCCAGGCTGACTTTGACGGCAGCTTGGGCTAAGTCGCGTGGGGTGTTGATGGGACCCGAGTAGGACGAAAGTGTGCGGAGGCACAGAGATGGGTAGCAGTCGTTGATGCATGAGGAACGGATCAGATCTTTTGGCGGAGCGGACGGCTTCGATGCTGCGGCGGATGGGAGGAGGAGTGTTGAAAATAGAAGAAAGAGAGGGATTGGCTTCATTGTTGAGTGCCGGTTTAAGTGAGTGTTGAGAGTCGAAAGTTTGGTGATTTGTTTTATAGGGGCAGAGTGAACGTTGGCTTAAAGTTAATGACTAAATTATCTTAGGATTTTTTATATGGGTTTAGGAGGGATCCACATGAAACAAAATTCATTCAATTTTTTTAGATAAAATTTACACCGACTAAATATTAACTATATATTTTTATTAAATAAAATAAAGATTTAATTGAAAATTTAATATAAAGATGTATTATTATAATTATTTCTAAATATACGATAGATAATTATAATACGAGTCAAGATTTTTACACTTTAAACTCAAATTTGACCCAACTTGCCATCATCTCTCTGAAAATATGTAACCCCAATATTACTTTCAATATTTACCTAAATAATCACTTTAGTCCGTATTATTTTTTAAAATATTTGAACACCTAGAATTTACCTAAATGGTAACTTTAGTCCTTATTATTTTTTAGTGTATTTTAATCTCCAACGTTTTAATTTTTGGATGAAATTTTTTAGTTGACTAACGACGATCAACGCATGTGGTTAAAATGATATATATCATATTATCACATTGAATGACATGACATGTGATACATCAATAATTTAACACATGCAAAAATATCACATCAAAAATATGCGTTCAACATTAGTCAACTAATAATTTCTATTGAACAAAGATTATGTTGACCAAAAATTAAACTATTAAGGATTAGAATATTAAAAAAATTATAAATTAAAATAATCATAATAAACGTTGAGGTTCATTTTAACATTGTACTTATTTTTTATTGTAGGATGATTATGGTAATTATAAATTGTGTATAATATGAAGGGTAGAGTTGGCAGTTCGGGGGTGATGAAAAGGATTGGGAGTAAATGCAGCGTGGTGACAGGCGGCACCAACCAATCCAATGGAAGAAACAATTTGCGTCGGTAAATAATTAATTAAAGATCCCAACACAACTTTACTATTTTTTTCCCTTTGGCCCCTCTTTCTTCCCCAATGGAACATCAAACAAAAAATAAGTATGGAATTGATAATTTTAAATACTTTTATTGTAGAAATGGACCTCTCTTGTCTTATGTTAGTATTATTTTATATAACATGCGCGTTGATTATAACATATTATTTATTCATATATTTTTTAACTTATTAATAACGTATTTATATTTTATAGACGTGATTGTTCGAACTTAGATCTTTTAGAGAAAATAATATTTTCTTTTATCACTCAGATCACTAAATGAATTCTTATGTTAATATTTAAATTATAATTTCCATACTTATTTTTTTTAAATATCGACATTCAATAAGAATGCGACACATAATATCACAGATGAAATTAGAATCAAATAATGGGAGTGTTCAATTGACTATGTTCAAAACAATATGAACTCTTTAAGCATTTAGTCTAAAAAATTAGAGGGACCAAAGTCTAATTTAATTTTAATTAACAAGATAAAAAAATGTCATTATACCAAAGATTTTGGAGCAACCAAAGCCCCATTAAACTGACAAATTCTTATTAATCTAGATCGGATTGTGCATAAGTCTATTATAAATGTAATCCTATCAATCTAATTTAATTTATTCACAGTATAAAAAATCAAACTTACGATTTTATTTAAAAGTGTTAATGCTTATTAATACACAAAAATGAGAATCGACAAAAACTAAAGAAATTTTCAATTAAATTTTAATTTTGGTCTCTATATTATGTTTAAAGTTAAGATTTAATCCCTCTATTTTTAAGAAAAAACTATCCTTCCAACTCACCATCTTGACATGGGTTTTTTGTATTGAAAGGATTGCTTTTAAGTAAAGTCCACGTCAGCGAAATAATAGTTGTAGACTTATAGTTAATTGTTAACTATTTTGACGAACTAAATAGGCACTATTAACAAATTAACCCCTACACTATATTGTAATTTCCACTTAGGAACTTAAACTATCAATTTTAAGTACAGTAAAGGGATCACAACCATAAATGGACCAAAGTTGTTAATGTAGGCTTTAAAAAAAAAGAACCTTGGCACCAGCACCCAAGAACATGAAGTTGTCGATGCTGAAACAGATCATGTGCAAGAGACAGTGTAGCAGAGTTGCAAACTTGCTTTACATTTTCAGGAATATATCATATATGTTCATGCATGACCTTAATTTGACGGGTTTTGACTCGATTCAGTCTTATAAAATCGGGTCGAGTTCAGGTTTAGGGTGACAAAACTCTAGTAATTATAAAGGAGATAATTGTAATAATACTTATGTTTGTGTCCACGTGAAATCTGAGCTGCAAGGGTCAATAAATTTATTCTTATGTTAACCAAAGCTTGTTTTAATGGGGACTAGACCATAACTATGTCAGATTACTAGTTCAAGTTTAAAGTTTTGTACGATATTGAAAGAGTTTGGACAAAAATATCAAGTTAGATAAAATCAAAGTCTTGTACTATATCTTGAGTAGTTGTTGCACTAAACATTATTAATGTATAAGTTCATATATAACCTATAAATTATATTATACCATCACTTCAAGAACAGTAATATATTTTTGTAGTATGTTTTTTCCAGCCGAATTTGATGTTGTTTCTACAATTGAGTTTTATTTGGTTATTTTGTTGATTTATTCATGATCTAAACTTTTGAGGCGATTATCTTATAATTGATATGATGTGGACAAAAATAAAATTATCAGGACCTAATGTCAAAGGTACAAAGAGTTCGGGACTTGGAGCATATTTTTCCCCTTTAGTTTTGATTAGGCTAAAAACACTATCGTCGCCTGAGAGATTCGAACTCTCGCGGGGAAACCCCATGTACTTAGCAGGCACACGCCTTAACCACTCGGCCAAAGCGACATTTGTTGTCAGGACAGAATATAATATTAAATATTCTATTATAAATCATGTACACATAATAATATAACCAAACAAATTTTGTACAAACCCCATGCTTAAGTCAATTTTTGCATCAACAAAACTCAACGCATATTTTACTTGAAAGTCACAAATAATCCAACATATAAAGCAAGAGAAAGAATACATCTACATTAATCATGCATAGAATACAAAATGTTAAAATGTGATTACAAAATTTTAAGTGAACAATGTTTATGTCAATTTTATATGTTTCACATTTACGATCACGAAAAAGAATAGTGAATTACATATAATATATTTTAAAGATCATACTTATATTTATATTTAAATATGTGTTTAGCGTGAATATCATATATGAATATAATTATAAACATTATGCATATAATATTTATTTATCGAAAAGTGAGATGATTCCCCTCCCGAATTCTACTGTTAACCCAAGCATTTCGGATATTAGGAGTGAGAACAGGTCTTCTTCTATTCCGTGTGCTAACATCTTTGTCTACTGCTATAAAGCCATTGATGTTTTGCAGAAAGATGTTATTTTCACGTTGTCAGCAATGAAAGTGTTATTTTTAATATATATTTTTATTTTATTTGAGTAAAACGGTGACGATACATAATATCATCTTATTAGGAAAAACAAAACTAAAGAACTCTTATGTTTGAGGCTTGAGAGTGTCTTTGGTGGGAGTCGATACCTAGCGTCCTGAGCTTGGTCATATTTTGTTAAGTTTTTATCAAAACTTATATTTAAGTTATACTATGTTATTATCTTAAAATTATAAACAAACTCAAGTTATTTTTTTATTCTCAAGATACAATACCAAAACAAATCTTAATATTACATTTTTTTTTATAATTTTAATCCTAATATTTCAAAACAATTTAAATATTAACGCATCAAAGGGACTAAAACCACAATAGAAATAAATAAACTATTTCCTCTCATTCAAATTTCAATATTAGATGGTGACATAAGGGACTTGAATTCAAAGCAATGTGAGGTACTATAGTGTACCATGTGCTCAATTATTGCCCTATTTGACATTATTCAAATTCCATAATCAAACAAAGGAGGCAATTTCAACATTAGTCCCTATAAAATTTGAAGTTTTAAATTTAAGATCATGATAAAATTTTATTATTAACCCTCAAAATGACACGATTTTAGTTTAATCCCCTAAGAATAATTTAATTATAAATTAAAATAAGAATAAATTTATTTTTAAAAATTTTTAATTTAATTTTGTACTGTAAAAAGTATTTTTTTTGATGTCACTCATGTTTGTGGATACAAGGATTTGGTTTGTTATTAAGGACGTGCATGTGATTTAGACAAAATTTGATCCTAATATATTTTCTTTAGATTGAGATTTGGTTCGATTGAGTTTTTTTCGATGATAAGATCAATTTTAGATTTTGTATAAAAAAAGTTCAATTCGATTTGAGAAGATAATATAATTATCTCTTATAGATGTAAGAATAATTACAATAATACATCTCTAAATACATTCTTTCAATTAGGTTCATATTTTACTTAATAAAAATATATCTTTTATATATATTTGTTTTTGATAAGTTAGGGTGCATGTTTTTACTTGAAAAATAAGCCGAGTTTTGAGTCGATCTGAATCTATCTAAACTCGGGTCAAATCGAACGACGGATGAAAGTATAGAATACAAGGATCATTTTCGAATCAACTAAAAATTTAATATGACGCGTGTATATCCCTAGTTTTAATGATTCGAGACTAGGGATGATAACGAGTTGAGTTTGACAAAATTCTGACCAACCTAACCTAATATAAAAAAACATAATCCCTTCACTCGAATCCAAATCAAGTTTTAGAAAGTTACATCCGACCCAAAATTCGACCTACGGTGCAAACCTACATCCGATTCTTTAAAAATATATATTTTATTTTTATTTGATCATATAAGTACCTAATTGAAAAATAATTTATAACGAAAAACATGTTTATTATAGTAATCATCTCTAACTGAGCTCGGCGAGTCATCAAACTCCCAAACGGACAAAGACCCATCATTTTTCTCTGAAATCTGCGTCGACCCAAAGCAAGAAAATGAGTCGTGTTCAATATCAGAGGTCGCTCTCCAGGCTTACTTTAGGATTGCATTATCAAAACATGTAGCTTTCTTTGATAGATGGCGGAGATGCTATATGTGAGGCAATGATTTTCGGGTCCAAATTAAATGTTTTTTTCTCCAAAAGATTGTTCCATTCTTTTTGATTGATGATGGATAACTAGTTGTCAAGGAATCGGAATGTTACTGTTTACTGAGATTTTGAATGTGGGGAATTCAAGGAAATGGAAAGATTGTTGATGAAGGTTAGCATTGTTTTAGTTTTCTCTATAATGGGATTAAATCCATCAATTGTGTGGCTTATATTTGATTTTACTTTGCTACTGTCCGTTTGAATTGGGAATTTTGATGGCATTATCTGCTTATTGTATCTTTGGTTTTTGAGTTACATACGTTTATGATTCTGCATTGTTTTGCCATTTTTCAACTAAAGAATCTGTTCTTCGGTATGCATGATTGTTCAACATCATTCATTGTTTTTTGTTGACAATTTACTTCACTCGTAAAGCAAGAATTCCTTCATGAGCTTAGTAATTGGAAAATAAGTGGACTATAAGTCTTAAATGCAGTTTAACATAGAATAATTTTCCATCCGAGTTTTGAAAGCAGGGTGCTTCAGTGTAAGTTATAACAAGGGCATACTTGTTTACTTGGTAAAGGACCAGCTCGACTAAGCTCGTTTATCTGTTAAAAAGGACACACAAACTAGATTTGTGAGCCGTTGAAGTCGAATGTTAGGATACATGAACTTGGTTTAATGAATAACTTGGCTGATCAAGTTCGAACTAGGTTTGATAATGATCGAATCTTTTTCGAGTTGAATCCAAATAGCTTGTGAATATAGGTGTCTCATTTGCGCCTTACCCTTTGGCTATATCTTATGGTACTTTTATCTGCCTAAGCGCAGATCGAAGTTTGCCATACATGTAAACATTAATCTTCCTCGGATGCAAGCATTCTCCCGCAGACTTCAATTGCTTTCTCTGAGATGGCTCTGCAAGTGAAAAACACATGTAGATAGCAAGTGCAATAAGAGAACGAATATGTCAATGAATAGTCATTTAGTCGAGAATAAATCTCGTATGCTTTTCAGCTATGTTTATCTAGTGAGGATGATTGGGACTCTTTATGCACTCATCAAAAACAGGGTTAGCTTTTTTTTCTAAGTTTCAAATGAAAGAGAATGTCGAATCTAATATTCTAATTTGATATATGATGGGATTGAGATTGCAAACTTCTTGTGAGTTCTTACACAGTTTATCTTAGGACATGTTTTTGTACTTATGCTTTCGTATGTGACTAATCTTACATACTGTGTAAAAGAATTGGAAATGCCCAAGTTGTAGGAGACCGGTTACTGGGATTCTGAATGCGGGAGAATTTCAAAGGTTGCTTAAAGATGAAAGGGAAAGGGAAAGGGAAAGGGAAAGGGAAAGGGAAGATTGTCAATGAAGGTTAGATTTGTTTTAGTTCTCTCTAATGGGATTAAATCTATTAATTTTGTGGCTTATATTTGTTTACTTTGCTACTGGCATGGCATTAGCATATGTTATTTTCGAGTTACATACGTTTCTGAAAATGAAGTTGTTTGTGATTCTGCATTGCTTTGCCATTTTTAAACTAAAAAATCTGTGCTTTGGTACCCCCTCCAATCCCACTATGCATGATGGTTCAATTTCAGTCATTGTTTTGTGTTGACTATCACCTCACTTGTATGTCTAGCAGTCTAGGAACATGGAGCTCGAATCGTCTGCTCGTTTTTAAGTATACTCGCACTCGGTTTACTGAATAGGTTTCTCATATAGTTTTTTTTTCAAGGGAAATCTAAATAACTTGCATATAGGTTTCTCATTTGCATGCAAGCATCCTTCCTATAGGTATATCATTCTCTTATCTGCAGACTTTCAAGTGCAATAAGAGAATGGATACATGTCAATGAATGGTCATTTAGTCAAAGAATAAATTTTAGTATGCTTTTCAGCTATGTTTATTCTGTGAGAATGATTTAGACTTTTTGTGCACTCATCAAAAAGAGGGTTCACTTTTCTTTTCAAGTTTCATAGAGAAGAGAATGTAGAATCTAGTGAATGCGACGTTATAACTTCGTTTCTTATAAAGGGATTAATAATTGATTTATGAATATAGCTAAAGATGAAATGATGTGGTCTCTTAAGCATAAAAAAATCAATCACTTAATTTCAGCTATTCTCTTTCGTACACACAAAAATCAAGTCCCAAATCCAGCAAATTCATTACTTTCGGTCCTTCTCGTTTATGCTTTGGTATTACTAGATAAGGGTACTTGATCTCAATCCGACGAGTTCCGGCTTTATTATATAAGCTTGGTTATTTTTTTTCTTCAAAAACAAATTCAGTTTCGAGTTAAGTTGTGTTGTTTTTTTAAGAAGGGAATGTCGGGTCGGGTTAGATTTATGGTAAAAAATATCCGACCAAAGAATAATAATATATTCAATCTATATATATATATATATGAATAATTATTATAATATTCCTATATATATATATATATATGAATTTTATTTTTTTTCTTCAAAAACAAATTCAGTTTCGAGTTAAGTTGTGTTGTTTTTTTAAGAAGGGAATGTCGGGTCGGGTTAGATTTATGGTAAAAAATATCCGACCAAAGAATAATAATATATTCAATCTATATATATATATATATGAATAATTATTATAATATTCCTATATATATATATATATATGAATTGAAATGGAGGTAACATACTTAAGAAGCTAGATTGAATTGACTGAAAATTGATCCAACGCGAACCATTATTATCCCTAAATGAGATTACTTCTTTCAAGGCTAATTTCGTCAAATGAACAGCTCGTCTAACGTGAGCTGTTGCGACCTATTAAAAAGCGGAATAGAAGCGATAAAGTAGCGGAACGGAAAAACAGAATATAGGTGACGTGGACAAATCATAAACTTACACGAAACCAAAAATGAATAAAAACAAACAAATTTTAAGATACTTTATGGAAAACAAGAGAAAAATTCATGGTAAAATATGCTTATACTCCCTCTACTTTGATGAAACTAGATGTCCAGTCTAACAAAAAGTGAAAATTATTATTATTTACTTTTGGGGTTTCAAAATCATTGTCCAATTATTAGTATTGGAAGTTTACTAAATTTATAAATACAAAATTTACACACAAGTAATTATCTTAGTATTTTCTCTATCAAAATTTGTCAAATTGACATTAATTTCCTATTAATCATGGCATGTCATATAAGGGAAACAAATTAACATGTTAAGGTGATAATTTTTTTGGCATAATCACCTATATTTGACTCTTTGATCAATTAATTTGAATCGAATATTGTAAAAATTCATTATGAGATGACCCTTTAATTCTGAATTTTTCTATTCATAATGCCAAAATTAAAAATCCTTATAAAGGTAAATTTTTTTGATGAAAATTTTTAACAATTTTAATGATTAGAATAGGATTTTAAATCAAATATAGGAACTAAATTTCAAATTTTACTTAACTAAAGGGACTAACAAAAGAATTTAACCAGAAGTTATTATAAAGAGAGAAACGCTAAAGGAGCGGTTTTTCTACGTCAAAAGCTAAACATCTTTTCATTCACTTGTTGTAGTACAGCTGCGACACTTTCTTTTTGGATGCCGAGAAAAGGAAAGAAAAAAATCGTCGTCTCTTCTGTTTTCTACTGCTTACACTCAACTCAACTCACTCGTTCACTCACTTTCTTTGTAAGTGTTCCTTTTATCATTAAATATTCTTCTTTTGTTTTGTGAGTATAAAAGAACTTAGCATTTGGTCCAAGTGTTTTGTCTGGTTTAAGGTTGGGGTTCTTGTTGGAAACCTAGTTTTCATGTTGGAGTATTGCTGTATTGGGTGTTTTGAAAAATGGGTTAGATGATTTTGAGTGATTGGTTTTGTAGAATTGCTGTAAAAAAAAGATAAAATTACAAATAAAAGGTATAAGTTACTGTTGCAGGCTTGCTGCACTTTCCTTTTAGTACTGTTTTACTTTTGATTTGTCATGTTTACTGTATATGTATGTATGCATGCATGTATGTATAACCTCAGACTTAGCATCTCAGCTTTCTTCTTAAAGAAGGTACTTATATCCTATCCCCACTAATTGATTTGTTTCATGTTGAATGCTTATGATTTGTGTTTGTGTATATAAATATATTGTGCAGGATACTGTGAGCTTTGTATATAGACAATGGATGACTACCTTGATAAGTATTTCTCTTCCTCACAATGGTCCGATGTTAATGTTAATGTCAAGGAAAGGTCATCTTGGGTCCATGGCGAACCGGATCAGCCAAATGCACTGCTGGTTAGTTCACTAGGAGTTTACCAAGATGATCAGCCAAATCACACCTCGACGCAGATGGTAGATGGAAGCTTGGGATTTGGAAATCTAGGACTGCAGTTTAATGCGGATGTTCATTCCTCTGGCTCAATGAGCCTTCAAGTTGTTGGTGATATGACTCTGTCTCGATCAGGGAATGTGGTGTGCAATGGAGGTGACTCTTCCAAGTTTCGGAGATCACTTACAGGCTTAGAAATCCTTTCTCCTATTCCACAATCGTGGCATCTGCAACCGTATGACGGTGTACTTTCTTCCCTTCCGACTTTGATGGAACAAACCAGAATGCAAAGCTCTTGTCTTCAACATGATAACGGAAAAGTAGTTGATGATGGTAATTATGGCAATATTAACAGATTTGTGGAGATTGGTAAGATTCTGCAACCGGAGTACTTATCATCATCAATCAATGCAAAGGTATGGTGGCAAAAGCCGAGCCATCGTTGTTTTAGTTCGGAGTTAAAAGTTTTAGTTATCTTTTGTTGCTCATAATGTATCAGGGAAAACACGATGCCGAAAATTCTCTTTACTCATCTTGTCCGGCCGACCGCCCGGTAACAAATACTACGACAGTCTTACCTTCTCTGCTGCAGGTACTTGTAATAGTCTCAATTCTCTGAGTACTTGAATTATGGTCCCTATTTCTCATCATTCTTTTTCTAGGCTTACTAGCTTTGAACTTTTAATACAGAGTTCATCACATGCTCCAAACAATGATTGCAATGGAATTGCGAAGCCTCGAGTTAGAGCACGGCGAGGTCAGGCTACCGATCCACACAGCATTGCAGAGAGGGTCAGTCACTCGGCTGTAATATTTCTTGTCTTCTAAGTTCATAGTCTCGAGTTGATTTTTTGAGATTAGCCTTTGTTCTATTGTTTGATCGATTGCAGCTCAGAAGAGAGAAGATTGCCGAAAGGATGAAGAATCTGCAAGAGCTTGTACCTAATTCTAATAAGGTACGTTTTCTGTATGTACTTTGCTATGTTCATTAACAGGCCTAATAGGAGCACATTGATTTTACTTTTGAGCACATGTCGCATACGAGTATGTGTCTGATCTTGGTGAGCTTTGCAGACTGACAAGGCCTCTATGCTCGTCGAAATCATAGAGTATGTCAAGTTCCTTCAGCTCCAAGTGAAGGTAAGGCTAAGCTTTTGTTAATATCGCAAACCCGAGCCAGGCTTCAAAAGAACTAACCAGAAACCATTGGCTGTCTGCTTCTGCAAATTATTTGCAGGTACTAAGCATGAGCAGGCTGGGGGCAGCAGGTGCAGTTGTTCCTCTCATCATTGATAGCCAAGCTGAGGTGCCAAATTCTTGCTTCTTGAGCCCTAAACCCGAAGCCCTAAAACGTCAAAATTCCCGGATTTTATCATCAGCTATAACAACAGTTTGTCTAAATTATGTTCTATCAGGGATCTAATGGTTTAACACTAACACCCTTGGTGGGTGAAGGAGTTGATTATTCGCCATCTCCCGAACAAGTCGTTTTTGAGCAAGAAGTGGTGAAACTCATGGAATCCAACGTGACAATGGCCATGCAATATCTGCAAAGTAAAGGTCTTTGCCTCATGCCAATTGCGCTCGCCGCTGCCATATCAAACAGGAAGGCAACATTGTCGTTGTCGTTGGGTCCTGCTTCCGAGGAGAGGAAGAAATCCGGTTTCGCCGACGGTGTTTTAAGCAACGATGATATTGTCCACAACAACACCTGCAGCAGGAGCAGCAGCAGTGGCACTGGGATTCATCAATTAACAACCTGTGATGGTAATTCTTTGATTGAAAAGCTAAATGGTTGCAATGGCACCTTCAAACAAGAAGAAATCAACACGCTGTGCACAGCCAAATGACTGAAATCCCATGCCAATATGTAATGTACTGCAGATTTTATATGTTTAGTACATTATCTTATCATTATTGTTATTTTTTGAGTTATTTGCATAAAACATCCTTGATTTATTGTTTAGATTCTAAATTATATGATAAACTTCAAAACATTCTAACCGAGTACTCAAACTATCAAAATTCTTTCAATGAGATCCTTCCATTAGTTTAGTATGTAAGCCGGATATGACAATACATATTTAAAACTCTTGAAATAAATTAGGCTTAATGGTATCTAAGGCCCTCAAACTTTTTAAAAAATTAATATAGCCCTCGAATTATTTGTGTATTCATTGTGACCCTTAAACTCGAAAAAAAACTCAATGTGACCTTTTGATCAACGGTTTTCGTCGTTGATTGCATAAAACATCCTTGATTTATGGTTTAGATTCTAAATTATATGATAAACTTCAAAACATTCTAACCGTCAAACTATCAATATTCTTTCAATGAGATCCTTCCATTAGTTTAGTATGTAAGCCAGATATGACACAATACATATTTAAAACTCCTGAAATAAATTAGGCTTAATGGTATCTAAGCCCCTCAAAATTTTTAAAAAAATTAATATAGCCCTCGAATCATTTGTGTATTCATTGTGACCCTTAAACTCGAAAAAAAAAACTCAATGTGCCCTTTTGACCAACGGTTTTCTTCGTTGACCATTACAATATTAAATGACATTTCATGGTACTAATGTGCCAGTCCATAGTGACCGATGATGGTTTGAAATAATTTAGGTACTAAACATGTAGTTTATTCTGAATTATATAGATAATTTATTTTTGGCAAAAGGGCACGTGAAGCTCCTGTAAAAAAATTAATGTGGCCCTCATACTTTTTTTCTCTCTCAATATGACCCTCTTACTCAAAAAAGAATTTAATGTGATCCTTTGACCAACGTTTTCTGTCACGGACCAACGGCCCCGTTAGTTCATGCTTATGTGATATGTCGAGCCGGCGAGTGCCCTTTGTTTTATGCTATTATAAACGGGTAAATTACACAATTCATCACTCAACTATTTTATCTCTCCCATTTTAGTCACTAAACTTTAGAAGTTTTCAATTTAATCACTCAACTTTTGAATTGCTCTTATTTTAATCACCTTTATGAATGATATGACATTTATTTTATTAATATATGTGATATCGATCTTCACTATTTTAGCAAGGATCAAGCTTGTTTTCGGTATCGGTCCTTCCTTATTACCACAAAGCCTCTCCGCTTCCGCAACCGTTCAACCAACCGAAAACCCTAACCTGACGTTGGGGGCAGCCTACTATCTTACCTTCCCTTACCCTATTACATATGGGAATAGGGTCAGCTAATTTTTCATGGAGAAAATGATCAAATCACCGCAACTAGTGGGCGGCGTCGACGCAAGAGATGATCTTTACTCCATGTTACCAAGCAGTATCCAATGGTCTCTAAGGAGTAGGGTTTTCGGCCAGCGATCCGGTGCTCTTCAGTGAACGGAGAACTGCTCTGGAAAGGATTTCGGGCTGGTTATCGCCATTAGCACACAACATGATCAAATGGCAAAGCGAAAGGAGCTTCGAACAGCAGAATTCGTTGCCCAAAACGAATGTTCTTCTTTTACAAACTCGTTTCTTTGCGAACAAAGACAAGACCGAAGCAGCCATTACCCAACTGCTGGTGGGTTTGAATTACATTTGGAGATTCGAAAGGGAAATGACAGCAATGGCATTGTTCGAGTGTAGCAACTTTAACGTGCAAAGTTGCAGTTAATTTGCTTTTGATTTTTTTTTTCCTGCAAATTTTAATTATACGTCACTGGTGCCTGATCTTTCAAGGGTTTGTTTTGCAAATCTAACACCTTTGTCTGTAAATTTGTATAATATTATAGAGATGAATACAAATGGCATGGATGAATATTGCATGACATGTCATTGATGGCTTATAGTGATCATGTGAAAGATTCCACCGAAGATGGTCGTAGACATAGTAGTAATTGTCTTTCTTTGTTGTTGTTACCTGAACCAAATCATTGGGCCTAGATTCACATGGCTTATAGAGTAGTTTAATTATTACATCATATTACTGAATTTTAGTGGCATTATGTGATTAAGTCTTTTAGATTATATTAAAGATGAGAATTCTAAAGTTAAGAGTAGAGAAAAAATAGATTGAAGAAGTAGTTATATAATAAAATTTAGAGTATCGTTGTCGAATTTGATCAAATAAGATTGCTAAATAGATTATGTTATTTTGTTTAGATAAGAGAGATGTACCGAGAGTAGCATTCTTACTTTAGAATTGAAAAATCATAAAAATTGAATGATGTTCCGATTTGATTTTCCCGAAATCTTTAAACCTTTTTAAAATGAATTAATATATCAATAGAACAAATATTAGTGTCATTTAATCTCCATAACAATACAACTTTTATGCAAATTATATAGATAGATATAGACGGTATTTGTAATTTCGCAAAATTTGACAAAGCATTCCTTAAAAAGGCAAAAGCATTTTGGGTATACAATTCGTCACTTAATTAATAACGTTATATTGAATCCCAAAAAATAGTTTACAATAAACTTGTTGGGTTTATTTTATGTTGCAGAATGGGGAAAAGATAAAGGCAAGTTGGATTATTTAAATACAATTTTGAAATTTTAATTTAATTAATATTGTTTTAATCATGTATTAATAAAATAATAATAATAATAAATGCCACATCATATATAAATATTAATAATATAAGTCATGGTGATTAAAATATGAATAATTCAAAAGTTGAGTGATTAAATTGATTTTTTAATGTTTAGTGAACAAAATGGGAGAGAGAAGATAGTTAAATGATGAATGATGTAATTTACTCGTTTATAACAATATTAAACAAAAGGCATTGGCTTGCTTGATGTGCCACGTCAATAGGAATTAACAGAGTTATTGGTTAGTGATAAAAAACGTTTGTCAAATGATCACATTGAATTTTTTTTCGGAGTTAAAAGGTCACATTAAGAGAATAAATAATACGATGATCATATTGTTTTTCTTTAAAGTACAAGAGCTTCACATGTCCTTTTGCCTTTTAACATGCGAGATCAAAACTATCTACACGCATGTTTAAAATTTTATTAAATATACTCCATTTCATATTATAAACTATCTAGACATTTTTAGTTTGAACAAAATATTTATAATTATGTCTATTTAAAAAATTTGATTAACTCAAATTTCAAAGTTTTTTTTTTTCAATTTTTCAATTTGCTCACTCCTAATTCGAAAACTCGACTAGAATTTAGAGACTAATTTAGAATCTAGACATAGTTTGAAGATGCTTCTAACAATTAACTCGTACATTTTTAAAAAAAAATTATTTCATCTTTAGTTGATGTATATTTTGTACATTTTCTTCCGATATTAGTCCCCAAACTTCCAAAACATTCTAATTAAATCCTCAGAAAATCGGTATCACTTCAATCGAATCACTTCAATCGAGTCCATAGATACCTTATTAATTGATATTGAAGAAGTACCCCAAAAACAACATGAAAGTTATAGCATCGCAGTGGAGAAATGATGTTGATATATATATATTTAGAACATTATATTACGAAATTAGTCCCCAAACTTTCAAAACATTCTAACTAAATCCTCGGAAAATCAATATCATTTCAATCGAGTTCTAGATACCTTGATATGGAAGAAACACCCCAAAAACAACATGAAAGTTACAGCATTCCAAAGGAGAAACGAAGTGATTGAACAAAAAAGCTAACTCGTTAAATTTACGGTTACTCTTCTTCATATCTGTCTGGCAGAATACAAAGGGGGATTAGGTGGGGATGAGGACTCATTAATGCGTGAGCTATATATGAGAACAACAATACGATACAATAATTACATTTCCTAATATCGTCATGGTTCAGGGTTCGAGATTCGGCATGAATTGCAGTGAGGAACAAAAATGAAATAGAAAAAAGGCTACTTACTTCTTGGGAATCTAAAGCGGATGTTGAAGCATGTCAATAACCATTCGTCAATTTTGGCTTCTTAAAATTTGAGACGCTGCAGTGCGGACAAACGTACTCCCGCCCGTCTGTTTTCGCATAATCCTGTCATTCATGAGACGAAACATAAAGTTAAACCGTATCTGGTACCATAATCCTATCTTGATAGGAAAGATTTAGAAGGTATATATACCTTAAAAGCCCCAAGCCCCTGCCGCCTGTCACAGCCGAAATGAGCCCATTCGCCACAAACTCCGCAGTTTACCCAGTCACCTGCTGCGCTACTGTTTTCACACAAAATCTCCAGTCAGTATCGCAAACAAATCCGTATATGCACAAGCTCATTGTGAATGTGTGCGGGAGAGACCTGTGACATAACAAGCAGCATTCTCCATCCATATCGTCGTGAGCCAATTCGTACTCCAAAAGGTAAGTCTCGTAATGTCTTTTAAGAGTGTTGCCCACTCCCTTACATCAATTATAGAAAAAAGCAACGGTTATCATCCCGACATTGAAAACTCAACAAAAACTTAAAACTCAATAGGACAAGCAACTTCGAAACATACAGTCATTCTATTTGTCAATGTGTGATTGCGCATCTTCGAAAAAACTTGTCCCTTCCAATTTATGCCATTCCCGACATGAAAGCCTCCTCTTGACACCACCTGTTAAGTTCAATCCTTCAACAATATACATTTTTGCCAGATATCCATCGTATTTAGCACATACAATAAATTACCTCTCTATACAAGTTAAAAAGGTCTAGACGCTTCGCATTAAGAACGGCATCGGGAAACTCAATTAACCCACCTTGAGGAACCAACCGAGTATGTCCTCGAAGAACCAGAAACTGCATTACATCTCTCAAAAATTCTTCCTGCCAGAACATAAACAGAAAAACAAATATTCAAATAGTATGAAGGAGAAGTTTTAAAGTATAATGCAAAGAGATTCATAATTTTCCTTATCTTCTGCAACGACTAGAAAACATAATACATGCGGTCACTATATTTGTAAGTTCTTAACTCGAAACTTGGAGAAGATGACTAACCTCCGAGCAAACCTGTATCGGGGTTCTACCACAACCATGTTTCTTAAGAGGTAATGGATTTAAAGATATAATCTGCTGAGCCTGATAAGAACTCGACAACGCTTTCCGATGTGTAACAGCAGGTTGCTTCAAGGGAACTACGGGCAAGTTAACCTTTCCTTGTTCACCATCATATTTCTCGGTCTCAGAAAATCCAGAAAAGGGAAGCATCTTAGGATGACGGGTGTGAGGAACTGGCCTCATAGTAGCAACACTAGTTTTTGATCTTGCAATGCCATTTACACCTTCAATGACAGATCTTTTTCGACTAGGTGGTGGAGGCACCAACCAGCTCGGAGTTCTGGCAATTAGAGAACTATCCAAGGAGGGATCCTTGCCCGGGATTTTGCAAAAGAAAAGAATACGTTCAGCATCATCTTTCTCAAAAGATGCAACTGACAAACCTTGAATGCCAGCAATCCCCAGCATAACTAAGCTGCGGTACGACGCATCTAGTGCAAGTTGCCTTAGTATCTGTCAAAAGTCATTTTGAGAAGTTCATTGCGATTTAAAACAAATCAAGAAAAGTTGGGCAAACATTAAAATGGTTAAAGAAATAGAAAAGCTCCAGAGAAAGTGTAAAATAGTTAAAAGAGAAAATCAGACCTGCGAAGCCCATGTGGGAACTTTCATGCTCACTTCGAACACACTTGCTCCACAGGCAATTGAGGCTGATCTACGAGGCTCCGATGGAGGCGATTTGCTCTCCTCAGAACTTGACTGAGCACGGACTAGCTGACTCTTCTCGATAAGCTCATTTTTTATATGATTTTCCAAAAGCTGAGACAAAAGAAGAAAAAAGGGAAAAATTAAGGCTTGAACTTAAAGTAACAGCACTAGCAATTAACCCAATCACAATCACTTGCCTGATCGTTAAAACAAGTCTGTGCACTACCAGACACTAGAAATGATATGTGAGTCAAACTGCAGGTTGAAAAGTCGCAACGCATGGTCACAACACCACGAGAAAATGTCCCCGCCTGAAGAGGTGGTGGTGGAGCACTATAAGAATGGAATCCCATAAGTACGTTGATGATAATGCACAAAAGTAACTTGGAGGAAGCAGTTGTATGGGGAATGGAAGCTCCATAAATGAAAAGATCAGTCTCGAACATTTAACTCAAAGCCCTCGAAACAGAACGAAGCCAAGAACCCACGTCCCAAAAGAAAACTATAACTAATCCCAAATTTATCGATACCTTGCTCGGTTATGGAGCTTGCTCCCTCTTATCTGAAACAAATGACAATTGAATCGAGTTAATAAGCGAATAAAGCAGAATCGAAGTGTTAGAACAGATTACATCAGACACGAGCACACAACGACACACTACATATGTATAATCATGGGAATATATGGTTCAACAAGAAAGCAATCGTACAAACTTACTTCTATGCATAAGAGGGCATTAAGCCCATCCTCCAAAGATCCCAAAAGGAATGCATCCTGCAAGACATACAGTTAACAACCAATATAAATCAGGGTGAACAAAGTATTTTATTGGGCTTAAAGGTGCCAGAAGCCCTCGAGCTTCACAAAAAAAAAAATTAAACCCCTAAATTTTTTTGCACCCAATTAAGCCCCTATACTCCAAATTTTTTTATCAGTTGGTGCCACTTGTCACGTCATGATGTTTCCACGTGATAGTAATATCTCAGAAAAACCGTTAGGACTTATTGGTCAAAATTGGTCAAAGGGATTAATTGATTCAAATTTCTCGGTTTGAGAGTTCAATTGGGTGCAAAAAAAAGCTCAATGACTTAATTGATTTTTTTTTTAAGTTCAAGAGCTTCAAGCACCCTTAAGCCTATTTTATTGTTTCAAGAACAACTAAACACAAACCTACCAGTACACATGGTGATCCACAAACAAGAAACCTTATAGTCACATCATCATCATATATCTTTACGGCCGAAAGATTTTCAGGAGAGTTTTCTTCCTCTTGCATATCTACCTCTGGTTCACAAACATCAATCTTGGGAGGCTCCCCGAGCAGACGGGGTCCTGGCTTAACACTTTGTTTCTGACTATTAGAAGAGACACTATTGTTGTTCCGTACACAGTATAATCTAAAAGAAGCATTGGCAAGCTGGAATGCATCCCATGTATGACAACACGAACTGCAATGGACCATAATTGCAAAACTTTAGAACTCTACCCGGAAAACATTCTACCAGTTTGTAGATAGTATCTAGGTAAGCCTTCAAATAGGTTAAGCCATCTAAAGTGGAGTGCTTAAATTTGTGTTATCAACTGATTTCAAAAGTTAACAGCACTGCACTATAACTGACTATCCAACGAAGTAGGGAAAATGGGTCATGCTTTGTCGATATAATGAGCGGAGTAGAATATTAGTACCTTTGTATCACTGATAACAGTGCTTGACGAAAATGGTAAGCTGCATAACAAGAGAATGTATTTTTCCAATATATAACATACGGTACCCCCTGCCATGAGAAATGAACATCAATGACTTTCATGCAAACATAACAAATCAATGTACAATCATTTGCCCATAATCATGGTCAATAATAGTTTTACCTTGGTGTGAAGTGCCTCTGCCATTTTGTCACTATCGGGGACCTCTAGATAAACCTACAAAAACATTCGAGACTAGAATATTTCAAATTTCAACAATTATAACAGACTTCAAATAAGCAATGAAACCAGCAAAACTAGCAAAAGGAAATCATAGAACAACCGGAACATTGCATGCACAAAGAATATCCCATATATCTAGCCCTATCTATCACCTTTCCGTATATTTCAACGAGAATGAAATTAAATTATAAACTCCATGGAACAAGTATCATAATCATAACGAAGTCATGCTTCATCACTCACAGTCGTGGGCAATGTCGAACCAAAGAGTCCACATAAAGCTTCTGGAATAGACAAGTCAACACCTCCCCAGACCAGAGAGCCAATCTCTTCACTATCAGCATTCTGCTCTCCTTGCAAGTAAACAAAATTCGGCTCCGATGAGTCGAGAACCCGCCGGAACTCATCAATGCTAGGATTATTCAAAAGCTGAACCTACACTCACACAAACAAAATCTCACAAAATTGCAAAAAACAAACTAACAAAGAACTGTTGGCATTGTTTATATACCTCTAGGCGCCCTGAAGAAGCAAGCACCGGAAAGGGGTATCTCGGCTTATCGTCGAAAACCGGCTGCTTTTGTTTAGTATCAGAAACTTTACCCCCACAAAGAACTGCAAGGAGACTGCAATGGCTCCTTGAAGAACCCTGAGCACTAAACATCATGCAAACATGCCAGACCCAACAAAACTCAAGCTCTGCCACTAAGTCACCGATGCATCTTCCTAAAATACTACTGTGAAATCAAATCAAAACCCTAAAAAGCTTACAGTAAATCTGATAACTCAAGAATCCCACCACTCAAAATCTCCGGATTTCCAAAATTCCAACCAGAGTCTTCACAAATACCTAAAAAAAACCCAAACAGATTGAAGAAAACTCACCGAACCAGATTAGATTGGCAAGAGAATCGAGAACTAGAGTGAGCAAAATCCCAAAACACAGAAGGAATCAAGCTCTCTCGAAGAACAAAAATATAAAAGTACAAAGAGGAACCCCAATTTTAAAAACAATACTCACTCTAATGATAAGAGAAAACTCAAATAAAAAACCCCGAAAGTACACATCTTTTCTTCACCTAATATAAAGACCCAAATCAAAATCAAAATCAAAATCCGATAAATATTTGACTTTTTATTTTAATCTGTTTCTTTCCACGTTCGTTTGATAGTAAAAGCCTAACAATTAAACATCGCGTTACCGTAATTGAAAATATATTGTTACAAAGTACATTACTTGTTCGCAAACTTTAAGAATCTCTACATAAAAATGTTCTTTTTTTCAGCTCTAATATCTGCTTTCTTTTGTGTGTGTTCTTCACTTAAAAGATTAATAAATTTTAGGGAGAAATCCCTGATTATTACAAGATCTACTAAAGATTCTCATTTTTCTATTATCTTTTTCATTTTCTTCGGTTTCTGATTTGGACACAAGTTCAGGACTGGTTGGATTATTCTCAGTATCCAAGGTTGTCCTTTTCACCTGCAAGATGATTGTCATCGATTTTATTACTTAGGTAAATTATACGGGTAGTCTATTATAGTTTCCATTTGTTCGATCTTAGTCGTTAATTAAAAATATAGTTTTAACATTAACGATTCGTTCGATTTTAATCTCTTGATCATTAACTCTCGTTAGTCTATTAATAAAAGTCTAAATTGATAATTAAAAAGAATGTGTCTTCTCCTTCTTTCATAAATTTGAACAGACAAATACGAGAAAGCTTAATACGCTGTTGTCGCGGTCGTTTTTCGGGTGAGTTCGGAATTAAACTTCGACTTAGGAAAATGAATTAGGAGTCGTCACCGATCATTTTAAAATGAATTTAGGTGAGTCGGACACCATCTTACCTGATCTACTTTTTACCAGAAATGTATTGAACTCGAGTCGATTACGGTCAAGGAAAGATTAGCACCCTTGAATCGTCATACCAATTAATTCGTCATTTGTCTTAATTGCGAAAAATTGAAATTAAAATTTAAAAACCCGATTCGAATTACTTACATTTAATTAATTGAAAATATCCCTAAAAAATTAAAAAAATATTAGATAAGAAATAATAAATAAGTATTAAATAAATTAAAAGGAAAAGAAATAAAATTAAATTAAAATAATAATAATAATAATAAAATAATAAAAATAGAAATCTGAATAAAGTGGATCCAATGTAATACCCACCCACAAAGTTGTAGCACCATCTTGCCATCCCTCTGAATAGCCTTTTTGGCATCCTTCACATCCCACAACTCACGTGGGCTTTATTATTTATTTAAGAGAAAGGCTGAGATTGCTATTAATAATGTCAGTTTTCTCTTGCTTAGCATCCTTGAAAGCTATTGTCGATGACACGTCCTGATGAACAACCGAGTCATTGAGTGCACGGTGAGTTGCTGGATCGAATGTTAGAGAAGGAAAATGGAGGGTTCTGGTCTACTTTAGGGTCGTTTAGCTTGCTGCAGCCGATGAACGAGATCGAATAGGCATCGCTTAAAACCTCCTACCGGGTCCACCACCGCGGCCGAACCCGATTTGAGGAACGACATCCACCGGGTCAACCTTAACGAGACCAGGGATATCAACCATCCCAAGAACCAAAAGCATATCGAGCGTTTCCTTATCGACTTCGATTTGGTCGACCTTGATAGCAGATTCATCGGAGACGAAATCCATGCGACGCTCACGCTCTTCCTCTTGGAGTTTAAGGGAAATGCCGCGAACGAGACCCCTCTGAATTCGTTTCATCAAATGGGTGGAGAACCCGGCGATCTTGTTGCGGAGCCTCTTGGATGGGATGATGGAGACTTCTTCGATGATCTTCTTGTTGGTGTGGAAATCGAGCGTCATGCGAGAGTAGTTCCGCTCGATCACCTGACGGGAAGACTTCTTCACTGTTCCAAAGGATTGAAGAGCAGAAACGACAACTTGAAGGACTTGATTGCGTCGACCCATGGTAGCCCCGGAAGCTCCATGTTTCTCCCTCTTTATCTTCTTCAAAAAAAAACTCAAACTTTGATATACCATTTCTCCAGCTTGGCCAACAATGAGGAAGAAAATGTTGATTGCCGCCAAAGCCCACCATTGTCAGTGCTTCAGTTTAAGAAACGGTGACTGCTCCATCAAATTTTCGACCTTGTAAAACAGTTTTACAGTTCACTTCTGATTTCTGATGAGAACCTGTCCCAGAATCGCGGCTCGCCAAAATTATGAGAGAGGTGAAGAAGGAATACGATCGGAAGAGAAATAAAATTTAAAACAAATGGGAAATTTCCAGTTTTTTTCTCAACGAAACTGCACTTGGTCTCCCCCCCTCATCAGAGAAACCTTAGACTCCATTTTAAATGAAAACAAAATAGGAAGTGCTCTCCTAATTTTTCGGTGGCTTTGTTGGCCAATTAGGTGGAAGGTGGAATGGACGTCGTGGGAGTAGTGGGTGGAAGGTGAAAGCAATAGGGGTTACTTCATTTTTTGGTAGTGGGTAGTTTGTTGAAATGAGGGCCTGCAAAAATAATTATAAACTAATAAAATAAAATAAATAATAATATAATATAATGTTTTTTAGACCCGAACAAAACAGTGTCGACGGCTGTTATGAACTTTTTTTTTATACCATTGACCGAGTCCAATAAATCTTAAACCAAAGCAAAAGATAACCATATACATTTATATATGTTATGTAATAAAATATTAGTAAAGACTGCAAAGAAGATACTAACCAAAACTTGCACCAGTTGTGATTGGAATATCAGTTACCAACCTAAAGAGTTTAATTTTGATAAGAAAAAAATTAGTAAAATACTGTAATACTGAAGTGTTAAATCTACGACTTATCAAATGCTTTGTTTAAAATGTGGAGTGCACTGTCTTGAGGTTTTCCAAATACATGAAAAATACTAAAACTAAACATTTTAAGTACTTGCATCTGCCTTCTTTCCTCTCTATCACTGCTATATTTCTATGTACATATATACATATAAAAGAGAAAGAGAAAGTTCACCAGTTAAAGTATTCCCTGATGTTATATATACATATAACCTGCACTGAATATAAGGGAGACAATCATTAAGAAACCAAAAACACTTCCTTAATGTGTTAGTGTGTATATAACTGTACATGCAAGTGTATTTATACCGCTAGTTTGACATCTGCTTTTGATACCAATTTGAAGGTAAGAATTTTAGATTTTGGGTTGCATTTTACATCTTCTTCAGCTCGTATTTGTGTTATCATAATTCTTTGTTTCATTGATCACAGTTGTGTAGTTATCATCACACTATATTTTTCATTTAATAATGGCGAAGATTGTTCTGGTGACTGTAGAACTGTAAAACAAGAAATTTATTTTCTTATTTGTTGTCTTATCTCCATTGAAGAGAGTTGGATTTTCAACCTCTCTGCTATTTACTTTGAGGCTTTGAGCGTTGGTGTTGAACTGATCACTTGTATTTCCTCAACCCTTCTTGCTTCTTGTATCGTTGACAAAGATTACTAAACAGAAGAGTTCGGCGTGCTATATGACAACCAATGGAAGGATTCTTATTTTGTTTAATGTGTATATATCTTTTTTAGTCTTTGGAAGACTTTTATCAGTCTATGGATTTTTTTTATACATTACATGCTCAGATGTTTTAATGTTTCCCATTTTGTAGAAGCAACCCATTCCCGAATTCTATAGATTCCACCCTAAATCCCTAAATAATATCCTGGGATCCACATTTCCCTAAATTTTTTAAAACCATTTCCCCCTAATTTTGCCTTAATGTATTCATTCCTATATCACAAAATTTTCGCTATTTGTACATGTATGTGAAAGGAACAAGTGATTGCAAGAAGAAAAAAAAATACAACAATACAACATGGATATGAACCAATGGAATTTGCACCTACGCTGAAAATCGTTCCTTAGAAATAGACATTATAACTCTTTCATGGCAACAAAGCTTTCAACTGTATCCTGAAGAGATCACCAAGAGCTCCGCGAACACCCATCTGAAGAAATAAAGAAACGATCGTATACAACGAATTTAGAGAATAAAATGTCGATTATATAATTCAGAAACGGTTCAGCAAATTTATTCCACATGAAAAAATGATTAGTTCGAATTCCAGTCTGGTGCTATTCTTTTTAACATTGCAGAATTATGCAAAGCATATGTTATTAAGGAATGGTGGCGGCAAAGAGTACATGTCTCTAAACTTAATGTGATTCTTATATAGGATACAAACTCGTGACCAGAAATCTATGAGATCTAAGGTAGAGGGAAAGAGAAAGGGGGATTTTACCTGATCGCAGCAAACCAGTTTAGTGAGCAGAGGATAGAAATCCCTGAGGTGTCTCATGAAAATCTTACCATTCATGTAGCACATGCCTCGAAGCACCTGCAAAATCAAAAGGAAGAGAGATTCTCTATCACCCATTATAACTAATATATGAATTATTTAACAAAACAACTAAACGTTCTAGCATCAACGAAATAGTCTAAACCGTATCAATTTTCACTATTAATTCTTCGTTTTACTGATATAGTACCTTAATGATGATTGGAGACCGCAACTCCAGAACTCTATGAATGCCCACATTGCTAGTATCCCCTATTGTAGACTGGAGGTCAGTTGCATCCCTGAGTACCTGTTCACAGAAAGACACCAGCCTCTCTTCTGCTATTCCTTCCAGTTTCCTTTCTTCAGTGTCACGAGTCCCATTAGATTCTGGACGTTGTCCATTATTGCTATCGAGTCCTGATGTTACTTTTTGCAAGACATCCAGATAAACGCAAGTTCCTGCTAACTCCTGACGAAGAAGATTTAGAGGGGGCCTGCCAAGATACAAGTTATTAGAAGCAAGGTTCTTTGACCTTAAGAGTGATAGTAAAAGATGAAATTAGGAAACATTTTCTTACCTTTCTGCAGGAATGTGGTGCATACGTGTTCTGAGGTTAGAGTATGAATTATATGATGCCACAAACTCGAGTAAGGGTAGGACAATGTCCATTACAGCAATCTTCTGAGCTACTTTCAAATTATCCCAGTTTTTTTCCTGCCAATTTAGACACACTATAAATTGGTAAAAGAATTATAAAACTTATACCATGGTGCCACTTCCCAAAGTCCAAACATGCAAACCTGAATGCTATCAACAGCACCAAGAAGTAATAACTGAGTGATGCATTTGCCCCTAACAGTTGCCATCAGTGGACTTTCCTCCTCATCTTTAGCTTCGGTCTCAAAAGACTCGGGCAGCTAGAGAAACGACAGATCAATAAGAGAGGGGTAAGTTAAAAAAAGGAGAATGCATAGTGTCAATAACACATTACATCCATACTTTTCCAGTTGATCCTTATAGTGTCAAAAACATCGGCAAGATTGATTTGAAAAAACTAGCCTCTTAATACTTATAAGCAAAAAATTGCATATACCGGAAAAACCAAACCGAGTGCAAGAAACAAATTTCCTTCTTTCTTCAAGAATATGGCACTAAATAATTAAGCAAGCATTTTGAAGGCTTATGCATAAGCAAAACATAATAGCAGTGGAAACAAGCTATCACGAAGCAAGAACTTCTAAAGTGTAACGTCTTTTGAAGTGACAAAAAGAACCCATAAATATAACATCTCTTGTGATTGAAAATAGATAAAAACTTCAAATACACAGAGAAAGGAATTCCGCCAAACCTTGCAACCAAAGATGACTTGCGTACCTTTAGTGGTGAAGATGGAACTGGAGTCCCTGCAGTAGGACTCTCTGGTTTTGAGGTAAAACTTCTAACAAATATATTATCCATCATATTTCCCATGATTCTTTGACCTATCGTTTGACTTCGTTGGAGACTCCCAGCTTCAACAGACATCTGACCTCTACCTGATGATGAGGGTACACCTACAACAGTGACAATGTATATATTCATCAGGTTTAATAAAGTACAAATTCAAATGTTCAGATTGGGCTGTATGAACAGTATACAAATGATATTAACTGATGCATAGGGTCAGTTAATTAAACTACGTGAAATATTAGACAGATGATTCTGCAAAGTGCAACTAATTCTGGTATATGAATGATATTAACTGATGAAGATACAGATTCCCTGTTATCTAAATCTTAAGGGGAAAGATTCACAACAGCTAACCTTCAAATCCATCTGGAATATATTGTAATTCTTGATTGTGCTCTTGTGAAACAGATGCATTAGTATTCCTTGTGCTGCTTGGGGATGCATGTGGTGAAATCTTCCCATTATCATTTGAACCAAACTGATAAATTTCACCATCTGTATGAACCTTTAAATCTCTTATAATCGAGGAGTTCATTGGGTTCTCTAGTCCTAATGCATTGAATAGCTCAAGCGGTTGTGTTGTGTACAATGCATCTCTGGTAATAAGAATGAAGTAGACAAAATACATATGACTTGCAAATACAAATTCTAATTGAAAAAATATGCATTATAAAATCTGAAGACATACATACCTTATGCTCTTCAACAACATATCCCAATCACTCTCACTGAACTGGTGTCCTCTAACATCTATGAGATGGACCAACGCCCCAAGAGAAATTGAAACAACAGTCTGATCTGACTTTTTAGCACAGTCCAACAGCAAACTCAAGAGTTGTGGCAGCATAAAGCACACCTCCTGTAGGGAACAAAAAGACAAGAAAGTTCAAGCAACTAGTAATCGTCAGGAAGCTTGTATCAAACACAAGATTATATGGACAATTGGGAATTTAGATATATGGTTTCCCATCACACAGCCTAAACCCCACCATTATATCGTGCGAATAATAATATTAAGAGAACTACAAAACTCATCTACCTTGTAAAAAGTGTTGAAAAGGTTGCACAGCAACTGAAGAGAATGAATGCTGCTTTCACGAAACAATACATCCCCGGAAGAAATTAAGCTCTCCTTTCCAGCATGTCTCACATGATCAAACATGGGAAACAAAACACGATGGAAAATGCTCTCCCAAAATGATGTTGAGAACTTGCTACCTCTTTCATTCAGCAAATCAAACAAAACTTCAATTGCACAACTCCTAACCTCTGGTCTTGAATCTGATGTCAGGTCAGACAAACCAGCCAGCATTGGGAACCAATAATGCTCAGTTACATCCAATGTTGTGTCAGCGTCATCATTAATTGGTTTAAGAGCCCCACCAGGTATACGTCCCTGTGATTGAAAAACAAGCTGAAGCATTTAACAAAGATGTCAATTACAAAGAAAAAGAACGCAGCAGGAAGTTGCAAATTCATAAACATTGTTTGAAATAATCAATGAGATGAAACAACTAATATTAACTTTGTTTTCCCCAGAGATGAGAAAAAGAGTTCATAGAAAACTTCCTAGTTCAATAAAAAATTGCAGCATGCTGATCATAAGAAAGACAATTAACAAAGTCTTCTTGGTAGAAGGGTTGGCAAATGGCAACCGTGGCCAGTTTTAGACCATACTCTTGACTATTTTAGTCTTACAATGGAAGATATCAAGAGGGGGGAACAACATGCTCAAGTAACAAATAAAGCTGAAGAATAAAGCAAAAAACCTCTGCTAGACGATCTTCACAAATCCGGAGAAGGGCCACAGCCTTCAAACTTATACGATGGGAAGTTTTATTGTTGGCAAACCTAATAAGACAGTTGACACAGTCCATAAAACAATCTCCGACAACTTGATCAAAGTGTTCCAGTATAACTGCACAGAAACTGCTGTTAAATTCATTGGAAAAACAAAGAGAAGGATCAATCAGAAAAAATAAAAATAGTAGTTTCTTACCCTGTTCCAGGTTCTCAAATGCACTTTCAACAGTTGTTTCCAAATCATCATCTGCAGCAGCAGTCAAAATCATGAAAACACTTCGCCATCCAGATTTTATGCTTCCAACCTTTGATTTTGTCATCTGCAATAACATTATCGTAAGTCTGAGTGTTATACAAGGCTCCCACGTGAATAAAAGAAACTCTGACAGTTACAGGTTTAAAATTGAAAATATTTTAACCACAAAATGTAGATGATTAAGGGAAAAACATCATCCAGCAGGATAGCTATATGTTAAGAAAATTCCAGCATGCAGACATACCTGAACAATGCAGTCAACAATAAGGCTCCTTATAGTTCCACTTCGACTATTCCGCATGAGAACGACAAAAGGTTTAAGAATATCGTTTTGAAAAGTAAAATTGGTCAATTCAGCACGCTCCAAATACTTCATACCAAGCTGCCTCAAAGAATCTATGGCATACATAGCAATTTTCTCATCAGCATGGCTGCCAGCAAAAATGAAATGATCTGAAAGGACAGTCCATATTCTAACCCAGACCTGGAAGGCATAACATTAAAACTTTTAGAATATAAGAAAGGATGTACTTTAGCAGGAAAATACTAAATCATTTTCGATAATAAATCAATTTATAAACCATAATTTAATATTACTAACGTAGCAGCTCATTTCTGGTCGAGTTACACATCTGAAACTAATTATTGTAGAAAAGTGCTCTTATGCGGTAAAAAAGAATCAAAGTAATATAAAATGTTCTATTCTTGTAAATTAGAGTAACTTTACATATACAGGTTATTCTGTAGAAATCAGAGTAAGCCTCTATATTTTCTTATTAATTCAATAGGACGTATTGCATCTGTATATACAAACTATGTCTCTAAATTAGGAAACTCTAAGTTAGGAAAGATACTAATCCTAGGAGATATGATCCCTTAAAATAAGGGATTGAAAGAATATTTACAGAATCCATTAACTAAAGGGATGGTAACAACTCATATAATTCTATAATTCCTACACTCCCACTCAAGTTGGAGAATATACATTGTATAATCCCAGCTTGAATAGGAATTTATTGAAAACAGGCTTTGGCAAAGCTTTAATAAGAATGTCTGTTATATGTCCTTCTGAAAGAATGTATGAACGGGTGGTTGTCTTTTTGTTGACTTGATCAGCAATAAAATGCCTATCAATCTCAACATGCTTTGTTCGATCATGTTGAACTGGTTCTTGGCAATCTGAATGGCAGATTGATTATCACACAAAACTTCAAAGTGATCCTCCTGATTAGTGCCAAATTCTTTTAGTAATTTAAGTAACCAAATTCCTTCGCATATTCCCAATGCTAGTGCTCTAAATTCAGCTTCAACACTACTTCTTGAAAAGACATATTGTTTCTTACTTCTCCAAGTTGTAAGGTCAAGAAATAGACGAATTTGGTTAGGTGCAAACAACGAAACAAAATTATTTTGCAGAGGTTAATCTGAATCAAGGACAGAAGGCAAATGAAAGCAGATATTTTCAGCAGAGTTTTTCAGAATATAGGGGAAATGGGCAGGAAGAGGATATCAATTGTTCAACATATGTTCAGAAGACACCGAACGTCCCATTAATTGGCAGTAATCGTTCAGAGAGTCTGGCAGCAGCTTCTTACACTGCTTCAGGGTCACGATTTAATAAAAGAAGGAAGAGAAGAGCTCTAATCAGTGAAGCTTTGGAAATGGTTAATATTTCTACTGCTTCTTCATCTCATTTTTCGAAGCTGGTAGAGGAAGCAATGGCCACATGGGAAGTGTGTCAGATGTTAGGTATCTCTTTCAAGGAAGGGAAGAAGGCTTTTATTGATAAAATTGTGAGTCTTGAAAATGGTCTGGAGGTAGGAAGGGAAGGGTGATATGCGGGTTCGCAGGGAATATTTTTGGTGTTTGGTTTTGAAGTCGGTATATGCAGAAATTTAGTATCCTTACTTGGAACATTAGAGGTTTAGGGAGGAGGGAAAAATCTTTAGTAGTGGCAAGGCAAGTTAAGAAGTTAAAACCTGTTATGATTTTTATTCAAGAATCTAAACTTGTTCAGTGTCATGCGTCGATCATAAGGAGGATTGGAGGAAATTTGCTGAAGGGAGTGGTGGTTTCTCTTGCACAGGGGTCTAAGGGTGGATTGATTAGTATGTGGAATTAAAACGTTTTCAATGTCACTAACCAGCATGTTCATAGTAGGTTTATCGCATTAGTGGGGAATTTTTTGAATGGCCAAAAGGAGTTTGTCTTCATTAATATCTATGGACCTGTTATTGAAGCTGAAAAGGAGGAATTCTTTGGGGAGCTACTGAGTTATGTTAATTTGACGAATTTACCAGTTAGTATTGGGGTGATTTCAATGTGTATCTTGTTCCGAAAGAAAAGCAAGGGAGATCACAAAATTGGCATGCTATTGAAACTCTTAGATCATTTATACAACAAGCTAACCTTATGGATCTGCCTATGTCAGGAGGAACTTTAACCTGGTGCATTAACAGAGAGTTGTCAACATGGGTTAGACTAGATCGATTTCTAATTTGTGGCATATTTTTTAACAGCTTTCCTAGGATTTCACAATGCTTTTACCAAAATCAATTTCAGATCATAATCCGGTTTTGTTGGAGGATGTTAGTCACAATTGGGGCCCCAAACCCTTTAGGCTTTTTAATTTTCTGTTAGAGGAGAAAGGGTTTGATGAGTTGGTTGAAGGCTGTGTGGTTGATGAGAAGAAGAAGAGGAATAGAGGGGGGATTTTCAGGTTGTTACAAAATGCGAAGAAGAAGATCAGAAATTGGCCTGGCAGCAATCATTTAGGGCTGGTAGACTCTATTTCGCTGCTTGAAGTGAAAATAAACGAATTGGATTTAAAGTCACAAGGTGGAATGTTGTCTAAGGGGGAATGGGATCAGTTGATTGAATTCAAAAATGAGCTGTGGAGATTGTTAAGGATCGAGGAAAGCATTTGGTAACAGAATTCAAGAAATAGATGGATAAAAAACGGAGACAAAAATACGAGGTTTTTTCACCTTACTGCTATAAAAAGAAATAATGTCAATACTATTCATTCTTTGAAAATTGAAGGGGTGGTAATTTCGAATCCAGTTAAGATAAAAAACAGTGTTTATGAGTTTTTCAGGACTGCATATAACACAAAAGCAGCTTTTGAGGTTGAAGGTCTAGATTTTGATTTTATGAAAATATCAGCAGTTCAAAGGGCTAATATGGAGGAGGAATTTACAGAGCAAGAAGTGTGGTATGCAATTTCTTCTTCAAATAGTTCTAAAGCTCCCGGTCCGGATGGTTTTACCATGGGTTTTTATAAGAAATACTGGAATCATTTGAAGGAGCAGATTATGGAGTTTTTTTCAGATTTCTTTGAAGGAAAGGAATGGGTACACGGGGTTAACCACGCTTTTATTACCTTGATCCCAAAGAAAGGTAATCCGGAGAGTATAGAAGACTATAGACCCATTAGTCTTGTGGGCAGCCTATATAAAATTCTATCAAAAGTGCTTTCAAAGAGACTTATTTCTTGTGTCAAAGAAATTATCAGTCCTAATCAGTTTGCATTTATTCCGGGGAGACAATTGTTGGAATGTGCTTGTGTGGCAAATAAAGGAATTGACAGTTGGAGGAAACAAGGGCTTAAAGGGGTTGTCTTTAAAGTAGACTTCAACAGAGCGTATGACACAGTGGAATGGCAGATTGTTATAAGATTATCGAAAGAGATGGGTTTTGGTGATAGGTGGTGTTCTTGGACCACACAATGTATTTCCACAGCTTCTATATCGATCCTAGTCAATGGGTCCCCTACAGAAGAATTTCTTATTGATAAAGGATTAAGGCAAGGATATAGCCTCTCTCTTTTTTTATAGGAATATTAGGCCTCATTAAAAAACCCCTTCATGATTAATGGAACTCTGAAAAAGTTCCTTAATCAGCGGAAGGAGGAAAAGAGTGCCTTGGATTTTATTAATAATAAACTTAATACAATATATTACAAAAACCTAAAACTCCTTGAAGGAAATCGACAACCTAAATAGTTACAACCTTAAAAACAAAATAAATATTAACCAATTCCAGCCTTAGCTAGAGCGTCCGCCTCTAGATTAGCTGCCCTATTAACCCATCTAATAACACCTTCACACAGTCTAAGTTTTTCAATAATATCTTTAACAATGTAAGCATAAACAGCAGGACATGAAACGAAATCCCTAACCCAGTCAACTGCCATCCTGCAGTCACTCTCAATTATCAACCGATCCTTTAATTTGTGTCGTATAGATCTCATGAAAAAGTACAAATAGGGAATGGAAAATATGTCTCTTTTTGGAAGGATACTTGGCTTGGGGATTGTCCATTAAAAATTCTTTTTCCTAGGATTTTTGCACTTTCTACTAACAAAGGTGGGAATGTGGCTGATTTTGGTAGTTTTGACTTGAATGGATGGGAATGGAATATTAAAACGAGGAGGAATCTATTTGATTGGGAAGTGTTGCAGTTGGTTGAGTTATTGAACAGCCTTAAAGACATTAAATTGATTGAATCTTTGGAGGATTGCCTGCTGTGGGATGGCTTGGGGGACGGGCTGTTTTCTATCAAAGAGTGCAGGAAATCTCTAGAGACTGTTTATGAGGATACATTTCAGTGGAGAAACTGTGTTTGGCTGGGATTAGTCCCTCTTAGAGTGGAGACTTTCCTTTGGCAGCTATCTCATCAAAAAGTTGTTGTTAGGATGGAATTGATGAAAAGGGGGGTTACTATAGGGGAGAATACTAACTGCCCTTTGTGCAACCTATGTGATGAATCAGTCCAGCATTTTTTTTTGTTCTGTCAAGTTTCGTGGGAGCTGTGGAACAAATTAATTTGTTATTGGGGTATAAGTCTAGCTTTTCCAGTTGACCCTCCTTCCTTACTTAGTTCTTTGTTTCTTCAGAATGGTTGTTCAAGGGCAGACTCATTATTTAATGTGATTGCAAGCTGGTCGTGGATTGGATCAAAGATCAAGCTTTGGTTCCTCTTTCCCTTTCAAATTTTGTTAAGGAAATTGTATCTATTGTTTCTTTTAGAAATTTTATTGTCAGGTGGATTCCAAGGTCTTGTAATTGTGAGGCTGACAAGCTAGCAAAAGAGGGGATCGGGTGATTTTTTTTTTCTGCTTCAGTTGTTATCTATTTCTGAGCCTAGAAGCTAGAGGAGTGTGTGAGGTCTTATGTTGTATGTAAAAGTGTTTTAAGTCTTATGTAACTTGGCTTTCATCAATAAATTGAGGTACTCTTTTCCTCCTTCCGCTAGTTGGGCCTTACCTTACGGGTAAGGTCCACTAAGAACGAGGTTTTTAATGAGGCCTCCTATTCCTATAAAAAAAAAGTTGTAAGGTTACCCCAAACAAAAGTGCAATAGCCACCAGTGGGTCTTCTTTCAGTTAGATCTCCGGCCCAACTAGAGTCTGTAAAAATCTTAACAGTTCTGTTTTGTGTCTTCTTAAACATTTACGGGAAAGGCTATATCTGGCCTTGTCAAGGATAAGTAAATTAGTTTCCTAACTAATCTTTGAAATTTCTCTCTGTCTACTAAGGACCCATCTTCTTTGTTGAATCTCAAGTTTGCCTCTATTGGTGTATCAGTCGGCTTACAACCAAGAAAACCAGTTTCTTTGAGTAAATCAAGTACATACTTTCTTTGGTTGATCACAAGTCATTCTTTTGATCTTGCCACCTCCATTCCTAGGAAATACCTTAGCTTTCCCAAGTCTTTGGTTTTGAATTCCCTGTTTAACAACTTCTTCAAATTGCTAATCTCTTCCTCGTCATCTCCAGTAAGAATTATGTCATCCACGTACACAATTAGGATAACTTTCTTATTTGTAGAAGTTACATTGATGAAAAGAGTATGATCGGTAAGGGACTGCTTATAGCTGTTTTTAAGAATGACTTTAGTGAACCTCTCAAACCAAGCTTTGGGTGATTGTTTTAACCCGTATAAAGACTTGTTGAGCTTGCAAACCTTGTTGCTACCTTCAACAGACTTTAAGTCAGGCGGTAATTTCATATAGGCTTCTTCCTCTAGCTTGCAATTAAGAAATGTGTTTTTTACATCAAGTTGGTGTAATTATCAATCGCAATTTACAACCAAACTTAGGAGTACTCGAACAATATTAAGTTTTGCACCGAACAAAATTTGATATCATAAGGATGGAGAGAGTTAGTGAGAGAGAGAGTGAGTCCGTCAAAAGTGAGGTTCCTGGCGATAACCTTAGAGAGGTTCATGGTGGAATTATTTGGTCAGCGTTCGTTGATAATCTTAGCAGGAGAGTGAGTCGTAGTGATTTATGGGCTCGTTTTAGTCATTTTGGTAAGGTTATTAAGGTGTTCATTCCGTTTATCAATAATAGACCGAAGTATAAGGTAAGCACGTTTGCTTTCGTCCATTTTGCAAGTAAGGAGGATCTGTGTAATGCAGTGGATAAGATGAACAACGTCCTGATTGATGGGAGGAGGATTTTAGTGGCTGTAGCCAAATATGAGAAAATATCTGGGTCGAAGAGACAGAAAGATGGGAGGGTTGATGGAGTTAATAGTGCTGGTATCTGTGGGGGAATGGGTAGAAGATTGCCTTCTTAAGCTGACAGGGCGAGGAGGATGGAGATGCTGGATAAGTTTCATGATGGGAGGTCATACAAGGAGGCGGTGGTGGGGGTATATAAAGAGCCAGAGGGTGTGCAAGAGGGTATTCATTTTAATTCGAAGGAGCTGAATAACACTAGGGATGTTTCCATCCCAGTGGAGGATAGGGTCTGGCTTAGATCGTCTCTTACTGGTATCTTCAAAGATATTTTTGAACTTCATGTTGTGCAGAAAGCGTTAAGGAATGAGGGCATCAACGTAAAGGTTGTTAGGTGGGGTTTTTCTAAGAATGCGTGCCTGGTTGTGTTCCAATCGGTGGAAGAGAAGAATTTAGCAATGGAAGGAAAATGGGAAGCTTTGTCCTTCTGGTTTGAAAGGTTGGAGCCGGTATTGGATGAGGAAAGCATTCCCCGAGCTTTTTGTATGATCTCCATGATAGGAGTTCCTTTAAATTGCTGGTCGGTTCCGTTCTTCACTAGGGTGGTATCCAGGTGGGGCAAGTTAGTGAAGATTAAAGATGAAACTGCTCAGAGAGTGGACTGCAGAGTTGCACAGATGCTTCTTAGGGTAGTCAGCCCTTTTGACATCCCTGATCATACTTCAGTTACTACGAATGGAAGGAAATTTCTGATAAAAATTAAGGTTGATGGGGGGATGATTTCTTTCCTGATTTTTCAGATCTGGCTGAAGAGGTTGTTCCAGAGGATCCTTCGGTGGAGAACTCCTCCGGATGGAGCACAAAGGATGGGCAGGCACAGCATGGAGGTCACGTGGGATGTCAGGAAATGTCAGAAATCCAAAATAGGGTGCTGGAGTGGGTTGCAGACTCACAACGTGGTAATGTCACAGATTCCGAGAGAGTTGTCTCCTCTCCACATGAAAAGTCGGAAGATCTTTTTGAAAGTAATAAAAGCGGGAAAAGTATGGGGGGGGATCTTTTTAAGCTTGATAATGTTGACCGGGAGAGTGGGCCTAATTCAGGCCTTGGAGGGCATCAGTTGGCTGGTCTGGAGCAAGAAAACTGCCTAAACTCTATGGGCCGTAGTCCTAAACTGCGAGTAATATCAATTTATATAAAATTTTACAAGGCCACGTAGGCTGAATCTTAAAAAGGCTATGGTGATGGGAAAAAGCTTCAGTAGCTAACCGTATGGAGAACAAACAACTACAAACTAATAGACCAAAGAAATATACATACATATCAAAAGGGTATTTCATAGGGTTTATATCTTGGGTAAGAAACAAGGGATGGTCCGGATAGATCAAGTTGGAACCAAAAAAAGGAGTAGCAGGTTATAAGATTGTAATCAGATACAAACCTTCCATCTCCAGTGGAAGGGGCTGATTGATCAGACTCACTGGATGAAGGATGCTGATTTGTTTGCTTAGGACTATCTGAAGATATGCAAAAAGAAAAATAATCAGAAGTAATAGATGAAAGCTATGACCTATCCGCAGCAATTTTAACAAGAAATAACATGAAAAGATAAGTTCACAGATTGAAGAAAACTAATAAACATGTCATCTACTTAATGTATGGAGACAGTGCATCGGAGGAAGTGAAAGGTCCAAATTTCTACTCTGCCATCCTCTTCTTTTTTTCTCTTAATTACATACTTCCTCTAGTTTTCTGGTGGAAAAGAAGAAAAGACCCAACTCCTAGAACAACTATTATAACAAGAAAAAGAACTGGGGTTCTTATCAATTTATCTTGGCATTATTCTTTTGCACTTTCCCGTTTTGACTGAAAACAATCTCACTTACAACAAGAAACAGAAATCTCACTCATTTTCTCATTGGAATGTGAAAGTAATAACTTAAATAAGATGGGCATCATTTACTCCATAGAAAGTATAGCTTCTTAACCTAATGCCAACAGATATCATATCATGAAAGCGCTACAGCTACTCCTAAACTCTACTTTACATACCTAAATACCATTCGAATACCATTACAAGTAATAGTATAGTAGAATGCGGGTGAACATGAAACGCAAAACTCAAATAACTAAAGACGGAAAAATCAGTAGAAAAATCATTAGAGCGTAATCCGAACCTAAAACTTCTTTAACTCACAAGGCCGATAATTCACTGAGAATAAAAATCTGACTAGAAAATAACACTAAAAAGAAAACAGATTAAAAGCAAATAAATTATCATTAAAAACAGAATTCCAGATAAATGATGCGCAAAATAATTTGGAAGAAACAATAAAAGAACGAAGACCTAACCTAGATAAGTTTGAATAGCATTTTGAAGATCGGGATGTTTTTTGCCGGCACATTCCTTGAGCATCGACTCGAAAGCCCGGCTCACGAATCCACCTGCCGCCATTTCGACCTAAGCCGATGCTTCGAACACGATAGTTCCAGAGTTTCCTTCTCTCTCACCTATAACGAAAATATCAATGCCGAAATGGAATGATTAGCCATTATTCTATAGAAATTGAAGCAGATCGTTGAAGAAGAGATTTAGGATCTACGAGTGTATACATTAAAAATAGAGAAATAGAAATCAGAGAAACAAAAATTGAAGAATGAAAGCTACCGCGCTTTGTTCTAAGAGAGAATCAAATTAGAGATGGAATTATAAGATTATGAAGATCTGGATGAGCAGAACATAAGATATCTGTTGTTGAAATTGAATTGATGATTATATGTGGGTAAAACACAATCCAAATCACTTAATTATCAGATTGGTTACAAATGGGACACTTTTTTAATAAAAATTACAATTTAATCATTTAATCAAAATATTATTGCAAATATATCACTACATCGTTAAATTTAAAATAGACGTTTGACGTAACATGGTATAATAATCATTTTAATCCCTAAAACTTATACTATCAATTTGATCTTAATTTAGAACAATTCTATTAATTTAATCTTTTATATTTAAAATGTTTGTAAAATTAATATTTTTTACTATATAATCATGTCAAATAATTTAAATTTAAATATATTACAACAATTGGATTTATTGAATTTAAATATATAGCAACAAATATATTTCTTTCCTGTCAATTTAGCATTTCATATTAAATTTAACCATTAGCAAATATTAAAATTTAAAATTCTAATATTATTTAAGAGATCTAATAACATCACCAATTAATTGTAGGTGTTGTTAGAGGCATCATTAAAATATTAATTAAACAAAGTAAAATGTCATGAATGATTGACACGTATCAACCATGAAAACAACGACAACCCTTGGATTGGTTTACGTGCTTTCACTTTCACGTACTTAAATTAATCCCATCGCCCATATCCTTAAAGCACACATTATTGGTCTGCCACTGCCCAGACAGTGAGAAATCAGAAGTTTATCAACGGAAGGAAACTCTGGTTTCCATGGAAGAAGAAGCTGAATCACTCGAGGAAGTCATGCCAAACGTCGTCGTTAATGAGATTAATGGAGATATCTTCGCCGATAACGATGTTTCATATCTGGGATCCGTTGAAACCCTTGATTTTCTTTCCCAGAAAATTTTCCAGAACTGGTAAGCTTAACCATGTTCTATTCCGCGTGAACCAAAAATGAGAAATTTGTTTTCTTTTTCGGGATCTAGGATATGTTACACAGCTGTTTAATATAATTATTCTCTAACTGCGCGTTTCAAAATAGAAAAAAAATTGGTACATTTTGGTTAAATCCCCAATAAAGGGTGTTTAGTTGTTTAATAAGGACCGGGCATTATAGAAGTTCATTATGGTACGATCATATACAAATATCAGGATCCAAATCTCTGATCTTGCTTAAATTTTATATGTTAGGTTAAGACTGTCCTGAGTTTTTACATCTCATACTTCTTTTAGAGGTTTGCAACTCTACATATACAAGTACATATACAGCTTCTCTTTGGATGAAAATCTGCAAGATGTTCATGTAATCATGTTCATAGTGTCTCAACTTAAAAAGAAAGAGCAATCTGCGCTTGTTGTTATAAAGATAACTGTGAAACCAGAGCATGGCATTCCATTGTACTGAAGTCGTAGATTTAGCAAGTAAATTGTGCCTAGTAGAGCTATCTCATTCATGAGTTAAGGAAAAGAATGCATTGTTCATATTTCTGCAAGCTTCAACAATGTTGTGAAGCTTTTCTTCTGCTGTTGTATAAGTTTCCTACGAATGCCGGCTTCTGAAATAAATACACCAAATCTTGCTCCATCCCAACTCACCATCTTCTATGGCGGAAGAGTTTGTGTATTTGATGCAATTCCTGCGGAAAAGGTTGGCTTTTACTTAACACCGCAGATGTCAGTATCTTTTGTTAAGTCTGATGGTTTATCTGAAAACTTATCCTTGATTGATTTCTATCAGATGCAGGAGATTATGCTTATTGCTACCACTGCTGCCGCTGCCGCTGGTAATACTGTTGACATGAAGGAGGCTGCCACTGATGGTGCCACCACCTTGGCATTGCCCGGTCAGTTGTATCCACGTCTTAGGAATTCTCTTTGCAAACCGCATGCTGGTAAGTCTCAAAACTTCTCTTGGCTTCATTTCTATTGCATGTAAGCTAATATAGCATTACTTTATGTGGGTATCAATTGGATCAGAAATACCAATTGCAAGGAGACACTCCCTTCAGCGCTTTCTTGAGAAGCGGCGGGACAGGTACTCCTTCCAATATGAACTACAGTCCTGTTTCCTTTTATATCTTCTATCCCCGAGCGGAATAATCCAGGTACGCATCTGTTCCCTTTCGTAGGCTGGTGAACAAGAACCAATATCCTGGACCATCAATGCCAAAAATGGGTGATGACGCCAAAGCCAACCTCAGCGCTGCTACTTCACCAGAGTCTGTCTGCTTTGGGACATCACCCGTTCATCAAGAACAGCTCCAACCAAAAGCTCCAACTCATGTTGCCTAAGCTAAGCATATAGGATTCCTTGTATATATAAATATATATATATATATATATATGATAAACTAAAACCTAGCCGAGTTACTACAGTAAAATGCAAAGTGCACTAGAATGCATCTTATCTGCCTTTGGAGTTGATGCTGATGGCAAGTATTAAACAGGTCTTATGATAGATGTGGCTATCCACTTAGTTTTCCCATGCTTCCATGGGCAGTTTTGATGTTTCCTAAACCTGGACGCTGTGTCTAATATAACAAACTTAGCTTTCTAGGATTTGCTATGTATGTATGGTTTCTCTGTTCTATGAAGATTGATAATTCGTGTGTGATATGTTCGTATGCAATTAGCATCCTATGCATCCATAGATCATTAAATTGTTTAAACACGGTCGGCATTTCATATGTTATATTAGTGCTATCAAGTTATGGTCATTCTTTGGCCTCAAGGTATAGGCTGACCGATCCCAGATGGTCAATAATAAACTCAAGAGTCGACTAAGGTTAACATTTGCTATGGAAATAATGTGGCAGCTTCATCAGGTTGCCTTTTGATTCAAACTAAAACCTATAGGCAGAGAAAGTTTCAAACAAGAATGTCCTCGTATAGAATGAAAAATATATGATTTTATAACGATAAAGGTTGCATCCTATGACCAAAAATTAAAGGGTTCTTACTTCTATCTAGTGATTATGAATAGCTTTTTGATATCATTAAGCATAATGTTCCAAAATTTCAAAACTGAAAATACATGTAATATTTCTTATTGGCTAACACCACCATAGTTTGCATAACATGAACAAAGAGGAAAAGGCATTAAAATACAAAAGCAACCTACAGTCGAAACTTGTTGCCCAACGGTGATGGCCCAAAAGAAGTTCACAATTTGAAAAGTTAAGAGACATGGCAAAGCATTATATATAGCTGTATACTAAAGCACCATGTGGTGTAAGCATAACAAGACTACTGCTTCACACTAGTGCAGACTCCGCAACATGCCATGTAGGTAGCCCCCTGTCATCACAAGTGACACAAGTGATACGACGCCAGCAGGGAAGACTTTTCCCGATCGCTTGAAACGGGAACCCATCACTCCCAAAAGTGCAGCAGATATACCTTCAAACCAGATACCATTAATGAAGATAGGGATAAACTCACAAAGCTATAACAAAAAGATAAATGAGAAGAGAAAAGCTAAATGCTATTTATGGCCACATGAAAGGTTGGTTGACAAGGTATGGTACGTCAGTTCCGGACTTATCTTGAGAAGGGGAGTTTGAAGCCCGCCCCATGGAAGGTGGGATATCTATAATCAACATTCGAACAAGAACTTAAAAGATTCACCTCTTATTCCCTATAAGGTTATCAAAGTCAGCAAGTAGAAGCACCTGTTAAAATTCTCTCAAGTTTCATGCTAAAAAACACAAGTACATGCTATTTGAAGGTGGTTTTGGTATTCTCTGTTGAGTAATATCTTAGTAAGTGAAAAAACACAAATCATTGTTGGAAAGAACTATAGAGGTATCTCTCTTTCTTTCTTACAACAATAAAACTGAGCAACAAACCCTTCCTCTTCCTCCCCCACCTTTCCTTCTCATGAAGCAAAAAGTTAACCTTATCAGCACTCTACAGAATAAAGAAAGGGCAAATCGGAACTCGGCATTTATGGCAAGTTCAACACTAATTGGCAGGCCCCATCTCTTCTAACCTCATCACTTGAGAGGTAACATAAACCACCATGGAAAAGAACTTTATAGGTATCACCCTTTCTTTCTTCCCCCAATAAAACTGAACACCATACCGTTCCTCTTCTGTGCTCTTGCCTTTCCACAGGAGCGGCACTCTTAGAAATAACAAAAGGGCAAACCGGAATTCAGTATTTATGGCAAGTTCAACACTAATTGGCAGGCCCCCTTCTAACCATATCACTTGAGAGGTAATATAAACCACCATGGGGAAGAACTTTAGAGGTATCGCCCTTTCTTTCTTCCCCCAATAAAACTGAACAACATACCCTTCCTCTTCCATGATCTCACTTTCCCACAGGAGCGACACTCTTAAAAATAACAAAAGGCATCCAGAATTCAGCATTTATGACAAGTTCAACACTAATTGGCAAGGCCTATCTCTTCCATGGAAGAGAACTTCATATCACTCTTTTGTTTCTTCTCCAATAAAGTCAAACACCATTCCCTTCGTCTTCCTCTCCCACACCTTTCCTTCCCTCGAAAAGAAAAAAATCAATCTTATCACATCTCTACTAATCTCATCACTTGAGATGTAAACTAATCATTTTTAGCAACATAAAGACAACACCAAAATGCCAACAACATAAAAAAGGAGTGACTTACCAAGCCCAATGGACGAGGCAAAAACAGGATTCGTGGGAAGCTGAGTATAAACATAATAGAGCACTGCGGCGGACAATCCCCCTGCGGCAAGTGATTTCTGGCTGCCACTCTTCATATACCCCATAGCACCACCCACTATATACACACACATTAACAAAATAATTAAAACCCCCAAGTTAAAATGAAACATCTACACATTTTCAATTCCGATATCCCTAGCAAATCATCACCAAATTTATTTTATCATCAAGAATATAAATTTCAAGTGTCTTGCATATTTTATATATTTTCTTTGTATCTTCTATTAATAATCTGTTTTCGCTTCTAAAATTATAATTTTGTCTTCCCATAAAATATTATAAGTTCGTCCCCTACCATTTATGTGTCCGTCCCTGAATAACCGGATCAAAAAAGGGTCTAGAGTTTACCTCCGACGAGAGCAGCATAGCCAAGAGTCAATTTCTGGGACATAGACAAAGCCATCTTTCTCTTACCACCGTCCTCCGAGAACTCGCCTTCTCCTTTACTCCCACTATCGTCTCCCCCGCCGCCGCCGCCGCTCCTGTGGTCAAACTTGTCCCCTCCGCCGTTTCCCGTGTCAACTTCGATTTCGATTCCTCCCTTTTCGGAACCGAAGGTGTTGGTAACGATCGTGGGTGCTTTTGAATCAGAAGACGCCACGCCAGCTAAAATCGACACTTTGAAGTGAAACTGACGACTGCTGGCCACCGCAAATCTGTAGTGAGCAGAGTTTCTAAAGAGCTGCTGCCTTTGAAATTTTCCGAGCTTTGGGTGAAGATGAAGAAGAGATGACTGCGATACGCCTATAAACAATGACTGCGATACGCCTATAAACAATGACTGCGATACGCCTATAAACAAATCAGTCATTTCTCTTTGGCGTTTGATTCTTTGACTTTCTTGCTTTCCCAGTTGCCGTTTCCCATTCTCGGCTTTTCTAGAAGAGGTGAATTCTTTTGCGGGCATTGTTGACCCATTCAAATGGGCCTTTGAAATTAGGACCCAATGTCCTGAACTGGCCTGCCCCATTTAGTAAAATCTAATGCAAGTTGAAGTTTTAAAACCGTCTAATTATGGTTTTAGCCCTTCTATTGTACTAAATGTGGTGTTTAATCTCTGAATTTTAGGGGTGTCCATTGTTCTGTTTTAATCGAATTAGCCGACTGATTGACGAAATCACAATTTAATTCAATTTATTGATAATTTAATGTGGATCGGTTAACGATTAAATTTTTAAAAAATAAAAGTTTAGTTATACAAGACTCGTCCTTCCATTTTGCCCTATATGTGCCAGAGCGTTAGCTATACGTTTGCTTCTCGGTGAACGTAAAAGATCTTGATATTCCACTGGTATTGGAGGAGCCTGTGGATCCTTCAAATAATAGATACCTTATGTAAGTGTGGAGGTGCGTCAAGTATCTCCACTACCTCTTTACTATCTAGTTCCACCTCAACGTCTCTTATACCACGTTTTCAGGTTATAGCTAAACCATCAAGCAACTCCCAAAGTTTGGTGTGAAACACTGAGCATCTACCATGGTTTTTTGATCTATTCCTCCTTCAGTGTTCAACTTTATTGTTCCAGGTTTTTGGGGGGCCGGGGGGGGCATCGTTGCCTCATGTTACGGTTGTTCGGTAGTTGTCGTCAAGATTGATTTTACTAGTATCAGTCTAGGTTCATGTTTACTGAACAATTGCTATCGACGACCAAATTTGTTCATTGAAAACAAAAATATTACGGTATTTTTATAATCTTTATAAAATTGTCCGGAATATGTGTTTCCGAGACTCCAACAGTAATCATCTTGATCTAAACCTACATTGTAGAAAGGTATCCACTCAAACAAAGGAGGAGAGTAGAACGCATTTTTAACAATTGCGCAAATCGTTGTTGCGGTGTTGCCCCCCTCGCCAAGAAATTGTGCAAAATTTTTCGTCCAAATTTTAACATATTAGAGGGACTAAAATTAATATTAGACAATCAAAGCAAAGGGCTCGTCACCGCCGTTGTTGTCCCCCTCGCCAAGAGATCTTCTAATAAAAAAACTCAAAATCCGATTCAGAATCCCAAATCAACCGCGAACAGATCAAAACTGAAACGAAAATGAAATTTAGATTAGTTGTTTGGACAGTTAGATGTTAGATCGTTTAATGGATAATCTTTTTTAAAATCAATTGATGAATCAAATTAGTTTTTAAGTTCATACCTTTAAGAATCAATATTCAATTATTCTTTAAGTACATTACACTCATTAAACTTTTAAGACTCAATCGAATTTAACCCAAATGAAAAAAAACGTGTATCAAGTTTAAATTAATCTAACTAAAAAAACTTATAACAATTTTCAGTTATTTCAATTATAGACTAAAATAATCAATTTTTGTCCGGTTTAATTAATAATTAAAATTTTGATTAACAGATAAAAAATTAATTAATTCAATTTGAATAATTTAATTCGATTATTGATTAAATTAATCTATTGAACATTTTTAGTTGCAACTCGCATTTTTAATACTGATAAGTTAAGATAATTTCATGTATTTAAGAGACAAATGAATTATATTATTTTAACTCTTTTATTTTTATTGTAAGTATTCCTAATGTCTTCGACCTAAAAATTCGGTTAAGCTGAGATTATCTTGCAGGAGTGATTAATTATAATTAATTGAATTGAATTGAATTAATCAATAAATGAAATATATTTTGTTAAAAAAATGAACTACCCCCATAAAATGCGAAGAATTTTCAATTTGGTAGTTAAATTAAGGCAACAAGTGGTCCAACTCGGAATTGTATCAATAATGACGTAATAGGTGCACCCGTGGGATTGGGACCAGTTGGTCAAATAGGCACATGTACCAAAATGGAAAGCGGGAACATGTTATGATAAAAATAAAAAATAACTTACAATAAAGATGGAGACATAGAGCTATATTTTTAACGGTGATGTCCACATTAATATAAACCGGTAAACTCCAACCACATTCCATCAATGTTAATGTCGATAAAGCTTGCTCTCTCTCTTGGTAATTCTGCAGTGAGCGTCATTGCTAGAGATCATCAAGAATTGGTCTTGGATGCTCGAGCTACACCTATTTTCAGGAGGGTCGTCATCTTTTATCTCTTGAAACACCGCTTTATTATATTTATGAATCCCCGTTTTGTATTTCAGATATTTAGATTTCGGATATCATTCATGACTAATGCAATTAAATCATGTTTCTCTAAAAAAAAATTACTCTGTTAAAAAATAATGATTTTTATTAAATACATTTTACTATAATTGATTAGACAATGACAGGGTTTAGTTTTATATAACTATTTAACTTCGTATTCAAATTAAATTAATTAATTTTTTTATGTTAATTTATACAATTAGATTTTTATAACATATAATAAATAAATCAAATAAATAAATAAAAATTTGAAATTAAGGTGAACTGTTGTCCTCCTGTCAGCGTCTTATGGGCCCTTTGTGTTCATTCTAAAATGGTTTTACAGTTTCGAGAGCCCCCGCTTGTATGGATGCAATGGATCATTACCTTAGAAGTTTCTAAATTATATTTATATAATTGTTTTAATTATTAAATTTTTAAAATTTATAGAATTATTATTAAATTTATTAAAGTATTATAAATAATTATTGTAACATATTAATGACCATAAAATTTAATAAATTAAATGATAATTTGATATAATCTATTAAACAATAATGACACGTAAATTTGTCGCATGCTACTTAATCACTTATAATCTCAAATTTACAATTATATATTTGGCATAATTAACAATTTTTTTTAAAAAAAATCACATTTTTTAAAAGTGTCGTTAAGAGTGCACAATTTCACCTTAACTGGTATAAAAGAGTATTATTATAATTCATCTTTAATAAGTGTAATTATAGGTAAAATTGATTAGATAATATGATGGGGGAAATCCTACATATTAAGTGTTGCAAAAAATATTTTCATCCAATATAATTGTTACAATGCACGTCACAATATGTTCAGACGTTACATTGATTTTAGCAAGACGTATGAATTATTCGATAACTTTGGTAAGAATTTAACGTTATCAGCATGAGGGTATACATGTAGTTTGAGGGAAACCATTATATCATTCGAGTGTCTTTCGTATTGTACTATAAGATTCACCCTAGACGATAAAATAATTTTCAAGCACTTTATGTGAGAGAAGTTTTTTTAAAACATTATTTGGACAATTTTACTGTCATTATATTTGAATAAATAAGTCAATAACATATAATATAGGAATGTGTATGTGTTTGCCAAGTGCGACAATAAATTACATCTCATAATGAGAGACAACTCTTTATGATCGACGGATCTTTTTTTTAGGGTGAGTACACATATAATTAACATAAAAATATTAAACAATTCCTACCTAAAGAAGGGGAAGGGAAAGGGTATTGAACCGCAACTTAGGGAAATAGAAAGTATCAAATAAGAGCTTTTAATCGCATGCTCTAGAAATTATTGATAATTTTTTTATGAGGTGAATAGAAATAAAATTTTAAGATGAACACAATCAAGTAAATGAACACTTGAGAAAAAAATGGATTCTAGGATGGACATGTATCCACCTCACACAAATGTGACTCCGTCGATTCTTTTTATATGACATTTCATTAAAATTATGATTGATTTAATTATATTTAATTAAAGATTTTGTTTCAAATTTTATTTAATGTAACTTAAAAAGGTTTGTTTTTAATAATTGTAATTTTATAGAAATATTTTACGTAAAATGAGTATATTTATTTATTTTCTTAAAAAGCATTTTTAATTCAAATTTGACTTTTTAGTAGAATTTTAGAAATGAATAGAGCTCAAAGTGACAAATAATAAATGCACGTGGTTTTCACATACGGTCCCTACCGCGTTTGTAAACTGTACTGGCCCACCAAAATATTGCCACTTGTCCGCTCTCTTTACTCCTCTTCAACACGCTTAGATCCCTTCAAACAAAAAGCACTAAACCTCTACCCCAACACCTATATATACAACTTTCAGACAGCCGCCATTTTCATTATCCACATCTCTCCCTCTTTCAGACATTTTTCACAGAAACAATCCCCAATGGTGAAGCCACAGCCGGAATCCCCCACGCGCGGCGAACCGAGCGGTGGTCCTTCCAAGTACAAGGGTGTTCGGAAGCGGAAATGGGGGAAATGGGTGTCCGAAATCCGACTCCCCAACAGCCGCGAGCGGATTTGGTTAGGCTCTTACGACTCACCGGAGAAAGCCGCTCGTGCGTTCGACGCAGCGCAGTATTGCTTGCGCGGCAGCGACGTTAAGTTTAACTTCCCCGACAATCCTCCGGATATAGCGGGAGCACGATCGCTTAGCCCACTTGAAATCCAAGCCTTCGCGTCTAGGTTTGCCAACGAGTCCTCCACTAGCAATACCAGTTCCAATAACTACAATGTCGGTATGACAACACAACAGTACACGTATTCTCCGTCAATTTCGGTGTCGGTTTCCGATCATGGAGGCGCCGCAATACAAGTGGAGAGCAGTGAAACGGTGGATTGGTCGTCGTTTTTGAGCATGTTGGATACCAACCAAGCGATGTCCGACTATGGCTTTTATCCGGGTCTCGGTGACCAATTCTATCCACCGCCGGTTTACGATAATGTCGACGGAGATGGCGACGGTTTTCCACAGCATTCATCGTTTCTTTGGAACTTCTCGGATATACAGTAGAATTAGCTGGTTAATAGTAAGGAATTTGGCGAATTTTAATTGCCGGAATCTTGATAATTTCCCAGCTATATACGAGTCTGATAGCAACGACGAAGCTAGGGTTTTCTTTTTAAACACACACGTGTATATAATATATATATATATATATATATATATATATATATATATATATGTGTGTGTGTGTGGTGGTGGTGGTGGTGTAAGTGTTATATAAATTTGGTCCAATATATTTTTTAGAGTTAATTTCATTATATGTAATTAAATTATAATCTTTAATTTAAAATAATATTTAAATATTTTATGGTGATGAAAAAATAATATAATTTATGTTCAAAGATAATTACTTAATCATTTGACATTGAACATTCATACCCCTATATTCATAGTACTCAAACTGTAGACATCAAGAAATTACCATAATTATTTTACCACTAAGATCACTTAATTTGTGTTGTTTAATATATTATTTAAATAAATAATTTTCGAAAATGTAATTTATTCTTATATAGAATAATAATATTATATTAATTTTTTCCACTTATATGATCAAATATTATACGCAGGCGGAGGTATAAGGATGGATATTTGAGTTTAATTCAATGGATTTTTATTTGATATGATTTTATAGGGTTATATGTTTTAAATTTTTTGTTCAAGTCAGATTGAGTTATGGTTTTTTATGGGTATGATTAGTTTAAGGTGAAAAATATTTGATTCGTTTTTATAAGAAATAAAAATATAATTGATATTTATATATTTAGATATAATTATTACAGTACTATTTTATTTATATATTTTTTAATTAAATCCTTATTTGTGTCAAGTCATATTAGGCGTGGATTTTTACTTTAAAGACCGAGTAGATTATCGAGACAGGTAAATTATTGTTAAACCCTAATTGAGTTTGGTAACGAACATAAGAATATAATATTTTTATTGAGATCGAATAAGCTAAAAATCTTATTTAACCCAATCTATTACCGTTCCTATTTCCTAACCTAGAGGCTTTAGACGTAGATATCTTATTTTCTTTTTCATTTATTTAGAAATTTTATATAAAAACATTAAAAGTAAATTAGCACAAATGTATGAAAAATATAAATATCATTTTGAAAATAATTAATTTGAGTTAAAAATTAAAAATTACTTCCAATTGTCTTTAATGGGAATCCCATCAACTTTCTGAGTGCCCCACTCATAAAAGTAAATAAACAAAAGCCTTGAATTATAGCACGTGATAAAAATCCATTACAAATAAGAAATAGTTAATAATAATATAAAATTTTATTAACATTTTTTTAAGCGGTAAGTCAGAATCACAATTACAATGATATATATTTAAAGGGTAATGTATACGCACCGAGAAGTGATTAGTAAAAAAAATTATTGTTATTTTTTAGATATTAAGTTTAGGTATTAGGAATATCATGAATATGAACGTTTAATGTTATAGAGTTAAGAGTTATTTTTAAATAAATATTATTTTATACTTACCTCATATTAAAAAAATAAAAAATAAAGTACACAAATAGTCTCACTACTATAAGGTATTGTTTTGTTGAGTTCTTTTATTATTAAAAGTTACAAAATGATTTTTTTTATTATAAAATATTATTTTGTTGAGTCCCCTGAGTATTAAAAGTTATAAAATAGTCATATGAATATTCATATATTCTAAAACCATTATTTTTTGTTAAAAATCGATGCTCTCTGAGCTGGACGTTAATTTGCCGATTGTGAAATGATAAAAATCATATTTTAATAATGTCTACTAGCATCGTTGTTAGTTTCAAATATTGACCCGCCCTCATAATGTTTCAAGTACTGACTCGACGACATAATGTAAACTTAAGATTCAATCCATGAAATACAACTAAAACGATTTTGAGATCATATTTTACCATATTTTAGTGAGGATGTTAACATTTATCTCAGATGACCATCAATTTTTTAACGAAAAAATATGAGTTCAGAACATATAAATAATCGAGTGACCATTTTATAAATTTTAATAGTCAAAGGACTCAACAAAGTAACATCCTACAATCGTTGATCGTTTTGTAACTTTTAATAGTCAGATGACTTAACAAAACAATATCCTATAGTTGAAAGATTTTTTGTGTATTTTACTCGTATTTAAATAGATAAATATTAGAATCAAAAGTATGATAATAAATTTAAAATTTTAATATTTAAATTATTTATTAGTTTAATTTTCATTTTTCTTAATATTTAACACTACGATAAGGATAAATAAGTAAAACAACGATGATATATATTTATTTTTTATTAAATTCGGCCGGATCAAATTTAAATTTTAGAGATAATCCATAATAATTTGAAAATGAAGTAAAACTAAACCCTAAGTATTAAAGAATCTAGGGCTTCAACCTCTGTCAAACTGAAATAAAATAAAAAATGGTTAATCAAATAAACATGGAAGAATTGTAATCGGGGAATTCTCGTTTGTGGCCGCCTAATATATAGCTAAGAAAAATCGAGACTTCGGGGAGCAACAATAAATCTCTTAAGCACTAAAATCATTTGGTTGACGGTTTAATTAATTAGTTAGTTATTAAACCATGGGATTAATATACAAGTCCATTTTTAAACCAATTCCTTTCCCCAACTTATTTTTGCTCTGGCAATGAAGCAAGTTTCTCGGAGCCATATAGCCCATCTCATTCCGGATTATGTTGGTCATATCCCGTTTATAGACACCCCTAATAAACTGGGCCTTTCCCCACTTCAATTTAGGAGTAATTAAAATATTTGAATTCGACTGGTTTTAATTTGACTTGATCGTATAAAATTATATTAAAATTTTGAATTTGAGACGGATCGGAGTGAATTTTTTAAAGGAGAACCAAATTTGGGATAAATTCATGTTTAGGATAAAAATTATCCATCCTGACCCGAAATATTATTAATATGCACCAAATACTTAGAGATAATTATAATAATGCTCATATATATTTACATATATAATCTCTGGTTATGGATAATTATTATAATATTCAACGAACTGGAATTTATTTATTTGTGTTGGTTGGAATGAAGGCTTAATGTGAAATGATATTATTAAAACATGGTTGGTCTTACTGTCTCCATGAAGCAAATTGACATTGATAGATAAATATTAGGAATATACGGCTTAATCCGGTAGGTTCATGGATTCGAATCATAGGATCCACAACTCGTTTAGTTATCTTCAAGCTGCAGCCTTTTTTTCATCTGTGCGTAGATACGCTTATATAATACTAATGATTATTATGTTGATCGGTTTGATCGTAGATATCGTGGTAAGTCTGGTAATTTGTGTTGGTTGAAATTTATAATATGAACTGTTTGTTTATTTTTACAAATATTCCTATCTAATTAGTGTTTGTATTTGTCTTTATTTCGTTTCAACAACGCTACCATGAATATTATATGTGCTAGGTGATGTAGTTTGCTTGGTGCATGCTGCTATACCACGTCACCTTTTATGATAGTTATGGTAAGAAGCCTATTTAATGATAAATGTCAACTTTTGAATGACGCACCATAGTTTGACCATGGAAAATGACTTGTATCTGTGCTCTAATACACGCTCCAAATGGTTTAATCCAACGTTGGCTGACAAGCAAGGTGTAGAAGAGTAAAGGGTAAACATATATTTCTGTATTTAAATTTAGTTTAAACATTTAATTTTTGTATTTAATTTGGTCTTAAGATTCAATTTGGTACGTAAAACTTTTTATCAATTAAATTAGATACGTAAAACTTGATTTTTGGCTGAAACTGGTACGTGAGTTTGTTTGTTCTTTTATAAAAATAGAAGTGGTTAATTTTATTTTAAAAATAAAACTATCTAAAATTATAAGGAGGATTCGTAATTAGAATTATAAATTAAATGCATAATTAGAATATTCTCCTATAAGCTTTAACACAATAAATTGGCAATTTAAGATCATGCAATGACCATATAAGGAAAATGTGAAAGATTCATCCAAAAAATCTCGAACAATTGGTAGATATGAACAAATTTGACTGTTGTGACAAACGAACCATAACAAATGATTAAACTACAAAAAAATCACTAAAAAACACAAACTGAGTTAAGTATCGTGAAAAAATTATTTACGAGCACAAGTTACGTATCCAAATTCAATTTGAGAGTTCAAAACAAGGAATATCAAAAAAACTAAAGTGTGAGTTATTAAACAACAAATAAAGATTATGAATCTAAGACCATTCCTATTCATATATGTTTAAAATTTTCTTAACTTATTAATAACATAGACACATCCTACACATACAATTATTTAAACTCATAACTTCTAAAAAAAATAAATGTAATTTTTACTATATAAATTATTTGATAAATTCGATTCAAAATAAACTTTTTAAATTTCGGGTAGAAGAACTTCACTAGTCCCATCACAACAAAAAATAAATAAATATTAAAGATGGGAAATTGTTGGTGGTTTTTTTTTTGGTGGTGGTGGGTAGGGCTGTAAATGAGACGAGATAGTTCGCGAGCTATTCGAGATCGACTCGATCAATGCTCGATAAATACTCGGATCGAATGGACTCGACTCGAGCTCGAGCTCAACTCGAGTTCTTAACGAGATGAAACGAGTTACTCGATATTCGACTCGAAAAACTCGTGAGCAGCTCGAAAATATAATATATTAAGATTTTATTTTAAAAAAATAAATTAATAATAATATTAATATTTATGTATTGATTTTTTTTAAAATACAATAAGATTTCATGTATTTAAGGTTCATGATCGAGTTTGAGGCTTTAATCAAGTTAAATTTAAGATTTTTTTTTCATTTCGAGCCTTTTCGAGCTGCTCACGAGCTTCAGTTCAGGATTTCGAGTTCGAGTCGAGCTTGAAAATTTTAAGCTCGCGAGTTTTCGAGTCGAGTCGAGCTCCATTTCAGAGTTTTCGAGTCGAGTCGAGCTCAGCAATACTCGAACTTGACTCGGCTCGTTTACACCCCTAGTGGTGGGGTGGGGGCTCA